ATTTACAATAAGGATAACTAAATAAAAGTTTTTGAAAGTTATCGGGTTTTTATATCTATTTTACTGTATAAAAAACACTTTAACGGTTTAAAACGCGATATATTAGTAACAGTTATTTGAAAATGATTTTTAACTTCGGCCCGACGTTTCGGATGCTTTGCAGCAGCCGTGGTCACGAGGCTAAAAATCATTTTCAAATAAGGTTAACTCATATATCGCGTTTTAAACCGTTAAAGTGTTTTATATAAATGTGTACTACTCGCGAATAACAGTATTTATTTTTACTGTAGTTAAAATCCCTAAAATATATGAAAACAATAATAATTTGTCATACATTTGGAGATTGATATAATTCAAAATATGTTTGTCTTTATATATGATTTTTCTTACATAGCACTTCATTCGGCGATGCCTCTTAAACTGTACCAGATTAAAAATTTAATCACTATCTAAAGCAACGTATAAAATTGACGTAACTTACCAGAGTATATAGAGCACTTGCATAAGCCGCATGTTTGACGTGCAGCGTCTTGCAGCAAATCAACGTTGTCTCTTGGTCGTGTGCAGTCCAGGCTTTCATCTGAAATTTATTATCAACTGCAATATGGTACACTGAACAGCTGAGCAGCAATTTAATATGTAGATTTTTATAAAGAAGTTATTAAATAATTATTACAAAAAATGCTTTACAACGGGAATCCAACGCACTATGAGTATTATATTATAAGCTATTGTAACCAGTTGAACGACAAACCTATCAAAGACCTATATACCCTCGGACCTAAGCAGTTACCTCAACTCTCGCTCTAAAGCAATACCTAAACTTTAAAAAAAATTATAAAGAACATGTTCCGACGTAGACATCGAGTACAATAATTCAATTTAAAACCTTAAAATGAAGCTTCAAAAAGCTATTGGCTGTATGATAATGTACCTCCAAGCTCTAATGCTTAAATATTTTGAAAGAATAGACCTTGCAGGTGGCTGCTTTGATTATCAGGAACCGTTTTCGTGTGTCCAACGTCCCACCACCATTTAAATGTTTATAAAAAAGTATATCAGCTTTTTTATCAATTCAATTTGCAGTTTACTTTAGCTAAATTATTTTAAGAATAATATTTAAATAAATAGTTTAATACGGTCTGTAGTTTACGCGAGTAGTACACATTTTAATTAGACACTTTACCGGTTTTAAACGCGATATATATCAGTTAAACTTGTTTAAAAATTATTTTAACTACGGCCCGTAACGTCGGGCCGTAGTTAACCGTGACCACGGCTAATCTTAACTATTTTTTTATATTAACTAATATATATTTTATTTAAATAGTTTAAAACCGAGAGAATATATGAATTGTTTGTTCTTCCAAATAAAGTGAAATGGTACACCGATATTAGAGAGATTTCTTAGACAAGTCTCTTTTTTTTCGATGTTTTAGTCCACATGATACTAATTGAATTTCTGTACAAGACACGTACAGAAATAAAAAAGAAAACAAAATAACAGGTAATTTCTTAGAACATCTCGTAACTTAATCCGAGGTGGATGAAAACGTAAGCTTCGAAGCTCGTCCAACCAAAAAATTATTTTCCTTGTTACATAAATAAAATAATATTGAATTAATCTTGTTTTCTTTGCTGAATTATTTATAAGGTAGCATTTATGTTAAGGTACAAAAAGACATATTTCTGTATCCGTTTGCTAGATCGCCTTTTATTAATTGTTGGTATCTAGGTAACGGTAATTTTTGGCCAGTGTATGTAATAATAAGGAACCGATTGGATTTAAAATTCCAACACAATTTTATTAAAATATTTACAGCTTAGCCTTTTTGTTTAATTATTGTATGAGTTAAACCTTTTGACGAAACCCGCTTATTACAAAGGAACAACAAACAAGAACATTGCCCTAAGGCATCTAAAAACAATGGAGTTTTCCATAGCTGTAAGTAAAATGGCGTTAAATAAAAACAAGCCTATATCATTTTTACACATGATGGTATTATCTTATATATGATTACAAAACGAATTTTGGTTGAAAACTTTTCTACGATACATTGAAAACGCGGTAGCTCAATTAGTTAGCACGGAACACTGTGGATGTCGGTACAAGTAGTGGCCGCGTTGTAAAGTTTTTTCAACCTAACATTGATTTTACGCCTTCTTATTATATATATTTCACATACAATAAATTGTTTTTCTTCCGCTAAGAAAAAGTATTTTGAATACTGTTTAGGCTTCATTTTCATTATATCCAAGCTAATTAACTAATTGCCTGTCCGTAAGCCTACGTCAAACAAAACAGAATGTCAGAAAACATAATCAAACTTTTAAAAAGCTCATTATAATATGTCAGATTTGTTTTCTCTAATTTAAAGTTACCGTGTTTAACTTTTTCGCAACTTTTGTTATAATATTAATTATATGTGTTATAACAAACTGTAATGATTTTAAAAACTAGAGATTAACCTGTAAATAATTTGCGTTCTTACGGAATTTAAATTACTTGGTAACAATTTAAACTGTTACCCAAATTAAATAAATTTAAAGTAACTTAAATTTATTATTTTAATTTACCTTTGAAGTAACGAACCGAAACACTTAGATACTTGCATAATAACAATTAAACACTTTATTTATTTTCGTTTCGTAAATAATTGCGTGACGAAGGGACGTGCTTTCACTTCGAGGGCGTATCGCGTACTGAAGCCTGAAAGCTGAATCTTGTAAACGTGAAAGCTTAGCTCCATTACCATGGAAAGTTTCAAGGTATTAAGAAAACGCTTAGGCTTTGTTGTAGCATGTAATATGTATAAGCTAAGCACTAATGTACGTCTCACTACACAAAAATGTATTGTCATTTTCTAGCTTTGTTTTTGTATAGACACGCTTAAATACTGTCTGTAGTTTACGCGAGTAGTACACATTTAAATGAAACACTTTAAGAGTGTAAAACGCGTATATTAGTTAAACTTCTTTGAAAATTAATTTGTGGTCACGGGGTGCCGCGAAACATCCGAAACGTCACGTTATTTCTATGCTATGTAAATTGATGTATTCCTTTATAATTCCGTTAGCTCAAAAGGCGACTTTTTATATTTTTAAATTAACATTTAAGGGGCGTCCGTAGATTAAATTAAATTATCTCTTTGTTAAACGAAAACTAGGAGTCGTACTACGGTACTACTAGTAAGGACGAACGAAAACGTGTAGGTAGTCTAATGGTAGTACGTATGCATTATTTTTTACGGGTGCTGAGTTCGCTTCTCACCAGGTACTATATTTTAATTTAATTTATAATATGTCTAAAAAATGTTAGACTTCTTCTAGAAATCTGAATATTAAATGGATAGTAGGAATCGAAATTGCAATCGAAACCCATGACATAAGTCAAACTATCGTATTGCTGTCTGTCTGTGGCTAACATATTCAAAGCGTTAAACAGTCGCCAGCCTCTTTTTGATGTCAAAAAAATTACTATCATACTCGTATTAAAGCAAAAGTAAAACGTGAAGTGTTTATCTTAAAGTTGAAAATAAAGTACTTGCAATATCGTTCTCCCAGGTTGCTTGTAGTTAAGCGTTTTGCACTTTACAACTATCGCACAGTTGCGCAAAGTTATTTGAAAGGGATATATTAGAAGTTTTATCGAAGTCGCATAACGGTGAGAGTTTAAGTGAACAAGTTTATGAAAAATGGCTGCTTAAGATTGTAAGTTATATCGGGGATCTGATTAATGCTGTCGCGTTAATAAGAAATTCTAAATCATAAGCAAATAAAGATAGGTAAAAAAACTTTTTTAGTTGATAGAAGAATCGTTTTATTCGTCGTTAGGCAGACAATTGACGTGCCCCACGGTTTTATTTTAGTCTAGTCTATGCATATGTTTATAATTCCCACGACTGTATCTATTTTATTATTTTTTGGTTTTTAGTACATTTATCTTAAACATTGCAATGTATGTTTAAATAAAACCGTTTAACTTAAAAAATTTTTTACTTATTTTTATTTTCTAGTTTTTAGTTTTTATTTCGCATTCTGTTTAATTATTTAGTGTTTGTGGTACTTGTTAAGACCTTTCATTTGATACCTCTATTGATGGGATTGATAAAACCTATTTATCCACCATTTTGTAGGGCGATATTGGATTTATAATATAATGTGTTGTACAAAATCCAAAGTGTATACAAAATTTCAGATTAATTTAAGAAAGGATGAAAATAGAATTTTTTAAAGATAAATATAACAAACGGGGTGAGCTAAATAAAACAGTTTAAAACCCTTTTGAACGTGTATGGCCTAGCATTGTATTAAGTGGTCTTGGTTTCCTATCCCGGGGAAACAATAAATTGTTTCGGTCAGTCAGGGCACAGAAGGCTGATCAACTATGTGCCTGTAAATAAATCGATCAGTGAAACGGATGCAGTGTTCGTCCCAGACCCCATGGAGAGACAAGACATTTCACTTTCGGACGGACTCTGGGTTTTCGGTAAAAACATTTAGATGCTAATCAATTATTAGGCTTTAATTTCAGAGAAACATTATACTTCTTTGTCAGATCGATAATTAACAGGGTCAAAAATGTTTCGGCCGAAAATAACGCAAAACCTGTATGTATATATAAAGTAAATACGAGCGATGCGCATTAACTTAATCGGCAGTGGCATGAATACGGAGCACTGTCCTAGGTTCAAGTCACGCTCGTATCATCGACTTTTTCAACAAAAATGTTTATGATTTTATAATATCTTACCGGTGGATTCTATAGAAAAAAAATTAGGTTAGATTTAAAGAATTTGAAATATTCCCCGCGTGTTGTTTGTGTCTGCAATGTCATCCTTAAGTAGTTTTTATATACAGTATAATGAAAAACAATATCTGGAGCTGGCATTTATTGTTCTTTGAAATAAAAGTAACATTCACTGTCTTTACGCTGCAGTGAAGTAAAAGTTTATTCGTAAAATATTACTGACATGTTTTTAAATGAATAAACAACATAATTACCGAGGTATATCAACAGAAATATCCGCGATTATATAAGCTAAAGACGTCCAGAACGCAGTGCACAAATCTAACTCTTCGGGACTCTCAACGTTCATCGTATCTCCTTCAGTGTGATGGAACCAAAAGTATCTTTCATTAGCATTGTGAAGGGATGCACCAGGCACACCTGTGTTTATAATCACTGATATATCTGACCCAGCACTATCCGACTCAACTAAAGCAGAAGCATTAATAGATTCAAATAATTTCAATATTTCTCCTATAATACAGCGAGCCTCCTGAGTTCCAGATACAACCAAGCCTAAAGGCGCAAACGTTCCTTCATCGGATTCCATTATAAAATTGATGTTCTGACTTTCATTTCTATGCTTCTCTTCGTATGCGCGAGCACCTATCAAGCCTAATTCCTCTGCCGTCCAGAAAATTGTTCTTACAGTTCGTTTAGGTCTTAAGTTCAGTTTTTTTAGTATAACTGGCGCGGCCCAACTAACGAAGAGACCACCACCGTCATCCATTGCACCTTGGCCTACGTCCCAACTGTCAATGTGACCTGAGACGATAACTAGTTTCTCTGGATTTTTAGTACCTTTCAAATCAATCAATGTATTTCTCGATGTCTTCGTTTCATAGGATGATTGCATTTTGATATTTAGAACGACTCTTTCGCCTCTATCATAGAAACGCCTAATAAGATCTGCGTCTTCTAGCGTAATTGCTGCGGTGGGAATTTTAGGGGCATTTTCATCATATGACTGGGAGCCAGTGTGGGGAGAATTAATAGAGAATGGAGCTATTGATCTTACTAGTGACGCTACAGCACCTTTTTTAGCTGCTTTAGCTGCACCAGACCTGTACGCGACTGTTTCACCGTAGTTTGTATAAACAGGATCGTACAGAACTATTTTGCCTTCAACATCTTCAACTGAAGCTTCATCCAATTTATCAAAAGTCGAAAATACAATGACTTCTGCAGTGATACCTTCTGGTGGAGTACTGACACTTCTTCCGAGGCCCAAGACTGCTATGCTTTTCGATCTCGGCTCCAACATTGTTATTTTTTCCTGTTCTCTTATCCAATGAGGTACCTATAACAATATTATCTTAATATGAATAAAAAAGTACATAAAATGTGTAATTTGCATTTTTTTCACTCTAACATTTATTACGCTACTTTATCGGAAAATTAATATTAACCGTGTGTTAATGAAAGAAGATAGCAATAAATAAATAACCAAAAAATATACACGTTTCAGTAAATATATTTTGCGTTTTAATCTCTTAATTATTTATGAATTATTAACATTTTGTGGTATAATATTATAAAATTAAATGAAAATTGGCAAGTAGTTTAATTAGTTAAACAACAAATATAATCACGCACTTTTGCATTTACTACAGCTAAATTACGAGGAGTATTAAGCATATTTTTCTTATGTAACTTATAAATTGGTAAGTAGAATTTTTTGGCGATAACACACCTCGAGTTCCTCTGTGGTAATATCGTTAAGATCTTCTTCTTGCGTCAGCTGGATCATGTAATCGATAGAATCTTCTAAAACCTGCGACCCAGACATTCGAGCCCCGAATTTGTCGACAAATTTCTCCAGCCTATGAAGTAAATATAAATTAATATTGTGTTATTGATAAATATAGTGTATATGTAGGAAATGAAATATGTGACTTTTATTCATCATTTTGATGATTTCTAGTTTCTGTTTTTTACTTTTTATTGCGTTTTTTAGTCGACAGCAGTATACCTAATTATGTGTTTACAGTATCCAATTTCATGCAAATTAAACCTCGCTAACTATTCAATTTCTTATCGGTACCTAGAGCAAAAGTAAATCTACTCACGAATTGTATATAATGATGTTCAAGTTTAAAATATTTAATTCATAAAAGCTCTAAATAAAACACTCAACGGTTTAAAACACAAAATATATTAGTTAGCTTAAAATAATTTGTAATTATTTTAACTACGGCCCGACACTTTTAATAAAATGATTTTCAACGGCTTAAAACACAAAATATATTAACTATCTTACCACATAATAATAAAACCTTACTACGTTTCGTGTATATAATATATTTCGGTTAAATAATTTATTTTCCCTAAGAAGATACATATAATTTCAATGTATTCATAAACGCTAACATCGGAACTTTATTTTAAAAAAATATATACAAATAAATAATGGACGTATCCTAAAATATGCAGTTTTAATAATTTTATAAACTATACTAATTGACAAATTATTAAAACCTTCCTTAAGTCTTAAAATTTTTCACCGCAATTATTTCGCTTTTTAAACCGTTTAAAGTGTTGTATTTAAATGTATGCTACCCATGTTGTATAGTAAATCGTACTATATTAACAAATCTACCCAAACTTTTAAAATAATCATTACTATATCCGGGCCAGCCAGAAACCAGCGCTGCTGTTAGTGATAAGCATTTAGCAGCACAGCTGAGACTGGCACCGATTGCGGTTTTTATCTATTTTATTATTGATTTACGCAATTTTGTAGTTATAAGTTTACTATACAAGTGTTAAAATTAAAAATGGATTTTAGATTAAAAAGGACTTATGACTCGGACAGGACTTGAACCGGCATTTACAGCGTTCCTTGATGTTGCTCTAACCAATTAAGCTACCGAGTCCTACACGTCATCGTCGATTTTTTTTAATTTATGCACCACACAATGTAATTCTAACCGTAACATTTGGGTATTAAGGTTCAATTTTTAAAAAACCGTAACATTTGGGTATTAAGGTTCAATTTTTAAAAGTTTTGAATATTACTCACTCGTCGTAAGTTTTACTCTTAAAATCGCCTTCCAGCACATATTTGAATATCTCATCCCTCGCATTCTCATAAGATGCTATCTCTTTTATTAAAGCATCGCCCAGAAGCGCCCGACATTTGTCAGAACTTTCCAAGGATTTCGCGTCACTAACACTTATGAAGAATATTAGGACTAGGCCTGCTACACAACGCATCGCGCCGTCCCTCAAAAGATATTGCGATGTTGCGATAAGCTAAACCCTTTTTGTTGCTCTATCTTATCAAACACTAGCTATGTCAGCGACATCGTCCGCGTAGAATATTTCGTTTGGGTTTCAAAATTTGTTTTTGCAAACCTACTCTTCATGTTTATAAATTGAATGAATAATTTTTCCCATTTTTTCCACATTTCCCGCTACATCTTCGCTCCTATTAAATTATTAAAACAAATACTGTTTATAGTTTACGCGAGTAGTACACATTTAAATAAAACACTTTAACGGTTTAAACGCGATATATTAGTCTCCCCGTGACCACGGCTGCTGCAAAGCATCCGAAACGTCGGGCCGAAGTTAAAAATCATTTTCAAATAAGTTTAACTAATATATCGCGTTTTAAAACGTTAAAGTGTTTTATTTATTAAAACAAATTTTCAACTCGAAGCAGTAGTTCCCGAGAACAGCGCGTTCATACAAACAAAATCTCCAGCTTTATATATTAGTATCGATAATCGATACAGCTCAAGTTAAAGAATACAGCGTAATTCCGTCTCAAGATAGATCAAGATGTTGGGATAACATGTGATGAGTGATAACGTGACGTCCGCAATTGATAAGGATTTTCCCATCTATTAGTCTCAATAACTTCACCTTTTGTAAGCGCCAAATGACTCGTGTACAGTGTAAGTAACAATTATAGTCCAAATACTATCGTTTACGCGAGTAGTACACATTTAAATAAAACACTTTAACGGTTTAAAACGCGATATATTAGTTAAACTTATTTCGTAGTTCACATATTTAGGTCTCCCGTATCAGGTGCTGCAAAGCATCCGAAACGTCGGGCCGAAGTCAAAAATCATTTTCAAATAAGTTTAACTAATATATCGCGTTTTAAACTTAGTTAAAATTATTTAGTTAATTAGGTAAAAAAGCAAGCTAATCAACTCATGTATCTGTATAAAATACCTACAGACAAACTATGTTAATATAAAAAAATTACTAAACTTTAACAATTTATTGACTATATATTAATTCTCTTTTTATGATTCTACATACAGAATCATAAAATTTTTGCATTGTCTGTAGTTTGTTTACACGCTTGTAGTACAAATTTAAATAAAACAATTAAGACGCGAAACATATTATTTTATTTTATGTACGGCCCGACGCTTCGGATGCTTTGTATGCAAATACAAATAGTAGTGTTTTTTTAGATCAAAAATAATTTTCAAAAAATTGTTTTGTAAATGAAAAATATTGTATTAAATAGTTTTGAAGTTATTTTTTTTCATCTGTTCATAATATTTAATGAATTTTAAACACTCGATTTGAATAATTCTTAAAACAACCCTACGAATATTATCAGCTCTAGATTTATCTTAAACATCTAGGTGTGACTGGCTAATCAATCTATCAATCACTAATTTAAACGATTCAACAAAATCGATAAAAATTATTTAAATAAAACGGCTTAAAAAACATAGTTACATTTATTTGCAATTTATTTTGTGTTCACGTTGAACGACTGCTACAAAGCATACGAAACTTCAAGCAATACTTAACACTAATTGTACCTAGATAAGTTTAACTAATACATTTCGCGTTTTAAATTCTTAAAAACCTACTTCTAAAGGGATGAAATCAACTTGAAAAGGTTTCAAGACATCGACAATATCCATGTTTTAAAGAGTTGAATTACTTATCTCCTCTCCTATTTAGCTCTTACGCTAAAGATCTTTGTACAGATTGACAAAAGGAAGTTAAAGAAATGCAACACTCACTCTTTGTAAGTCCTCCCTTTGAACGGACCAGTGACCACGTAATCCATAATATCTCTGACCACAGTGTCATATGACTCAATCTCCTTCGCCAAATTACCAATGTTACAAGATTTTAATTCCGTATAAGACTTTTTTGGCAAACTGTACACATCACTAAGAGCTATCAAAAGAAGTACTTTAGATATTAAATACATAGCTTATCTGGCAGACGTCCTTTCTCGAGGATGCAAATAAGTACTCTGGACTAGGTCAACATTGCATGCATATCGTTAATTAACACCAGTAAGTACCAGGACAATAGAAAGATTAAGACTCTATCTATTTAAGGTTCTGGTCAACTATAAACAAAATTCGCCTCTTAATGAGCTATTGTTGTCTCTTTCACCTGCTAGTTTAGGAGAGTCGTTTTATTCGCATGAGACGAACTCTCAGTCACGCGTTACGCCGTACGTGGATTTTGTATAAACCACAATTTATACAACAATATTGACTCTAAATAATTATAATGACGATATTTTGTATGGTTATAAATGAGAATGTATTCCTAGTATAGCAATTGAACACAATTTTCTTTTATTTTATTTGAACAGTATTATATGTTAATATATTTTATATGTCTATTAAGTGAATTTTGAAATAAAACATTTTTAACGGTTTAAATCGAGAAATATCAAAGTCAACTTATTTCCTATATATTTTATATACGGCCTGACGTTTCGGATGTTTTACAGCAGCTGTACAGGAGGGCATTTGTATAGATTGACGGTCGTCTTTTATCTCTTACATTAATAGTTTAATTAATTTAAGGAATAGAAGTTTTGTCAATTTAATGTGTAAATATTTGTAAAGCTTAAAATTAATTACAACTAAACTTATAATTAGTAGTTACTCATATAATAGGGAATCCAAAACTATCACGAGACCTTAATATTGTAAAGCTAAAGAATTTGTCATTTTATTTGACAGTGTCGTAAGTAACAGCTAGAATTGTTGATTGTAGATCATATCATAGACGTACTCCAATATTGGTCATTGCTAATAAGCTTCTTACGTCACTAGCCGTATTGCAGCGTTATTTCGAAAAATTAGCGTTTAAGCGCGCAATTTAAATGTCGGATTCACAATACAAAATATATACTTTCTGGGGTTCTTTAACATCTACTAAAAAAAAAATATTAATGATAGAGTATTCTAATCGCCTAAGTATGGTCTATGACTTAGTGAGGTTTTAATCTAAATGAAAATCAATCGATAAACGAGTCATATGACCGGTGATAACAGTAAAATGGCGGCTTTATAGCTCGTTCGATTCACAATAGCCCGTAGTTAACATCAATTCAAGCATTCAATACACAGGCGGATGTCCCGTGCATTTGTGCACCGAGTGTTATAAATATGAACTAGCTCGGACGAAAAGTTTCGCATTTTAATCAACAACTTTTCGCTTCGAATGCAGCAAAGCATAAAATATTGTCTCTGCGGAGATGAGATTTTGCGTCAGTTACTAGTTATGTCCTTTATGACATCGGAGATATAATTACATTTTCATGTGCCTTAGTATTCAAGAATTTAACACGAGTCATAATTTTGTTTAAAAGACAAATAAAAAAGCCACGTAGTCTAAAAGCATCAATGTATCAACGGATCGTACGTACGATCCCCATCCGGTGCATTTTTTTGCACGGAAATCGAAATTTCCATCTAAAACATCACCATCCGCAGATGAAAAAATCTGTAACTTAAATACTGTCTATAGTTTACGCGAGTAGTACACATTAAAATAAAACACTTTAACGGTTTAAAACGCGATATATTAGTTAAACTTATGTTAAAAAGAATGTCCTGAAATAGATAATAATAACAATCAATCAAATCTTAACCTCCCTAGTTTTCGTTCATACGTTGATAAAGTTACTTAACTCCCGCATGAGATAGACTTTTCAACGTGCGATTTACGGGTTTATTGTCCTCCGTCCCTGATCGATATCCACAATGTCGCTTCAGCCAGGTGGTGATTGGATATTGCCTATAAAACGTTCCCTATTTTTATAAGATTTCATCTTCAATCACGTTTCGTAGAGGAGGAGCAAGGTAGGAGATTTATCGAACTTTTTTATAAACCTAACCATTCTACGATGCTACAAGTTACTGAAATACTATAGTTACTGATAAAAAACTTTTAACTTTTATCTAGGATTTATTCCAATTTCTTTTTTAAATAACCAACTTTCCTCTTGATTAATTTAATAACATCCATGCTTCTTTAAATAAGTGGATATTAAGAAATGAATGGTCAAATATCAATTATATAATAAAGAATATATTAAATATTATATGCTAGATTTCTTCTATTAATGAATAAAATTAAAGAAAACATACAATTAGTTTTCTTGTTAAGCGAAATGGTGGTAAATATCAATTAAAAGTAATTCTACTGCATTATAATACCTACTTGAATACGATAACCACCTTTGTGTAGGTTAAACGTGTTGCCTAGCATTGCGTTAAGCACGTAAGGTACAGGGTTTGAATTCCGAGTAAACAATATAATGTTTCTGTAGGGCAGGGCGAAGAAGACTGATACAATACTTGCCTATAACCGATCAGTGAAACTATGCCCCACGCGGGATTAGATTTTTAAAGTAACTTTAACTGTTAAAACGGGAAGGTAATTAATTCCTAACGTCGTTTTACGAAAAATATTGCTATATATTTTTCGTAAACTATATAGTTCGAGTTTGAAGCCGTAACAACGTTGTGGTATTTGATATACCTTTTGTCAATGTGTTCGTTCTAAAATAGAAACAATAATAAAACTACCATTCATAATTAGTTAAACAAATGCTGCAATGTACATTTTTATGACTCGTTTGAATGACATACCAAATGTGATAAATTCTTCGCGGCAATTAAACATTTATATATGCCACACCAACTATATATAAACGATATGTTCCTGAACTGCACAATGGAACAAAACTGATTTTCCATGTAACCGTTAGGTAAAAATGATATTCAAGAGCTATGTGTTTATTCTTTTGTTTTGTATGTATAAGCGGGCGATGTGTAAGAAGTACACGTATATATATAGCTCAGTAGAATCATCTGGGAATAAGTGTGAAGGTATCCTCACTGAAGACTTGAAGCAAGAAATCCTGTCTTACAAAGATGTCGTACAGTGGATTATGGCTGAAATTAACGAGAGTCCGATAAAGAATATGTTTTATAATACGTATGTATTTGTTGATCGGTGAAAAGATCTGGTTGTTATTTTGTTTATTCGATCTAATGGCATCAGTGTATTTACAATACGAGTCGTGGGTAAGATCCCCATCGGATCCAACACGTTTCTTATCAATTTATAATGATAAGTATTTTCTGTATTTTACGTGAGTAGTATACATTTAGATAAAACACTTTGTGACGGTTTAAAACGCGAAATGTATTACTTGATTACAATTTATTTTCAAATATGGCCCGACATTACCGGGGACGTTTACGGGACCAGGAAACTGATGGCGCTAGCGTAGTAAATTTGATTATAGGTCCAACCATCTTCCTTACCCTGTGACCATAGCTGCTCCAAAGCAATCAAAATGTCGGGAAATAACTTATAAATAAGTTAACTAATACGGTTCACGTTTTAAACCGTTAAAAGTGGTTTTATTTTAATTTATAATGTTTTCGTGTGATTTTCCGATCCTCCTAATCCATAATAGGTAGACAGCGCGTCTTGGATGGATCTTATATGACTAGGCTGAAAGGTTAAACCTTTCTTGAAGTAAACCCGATGCTTGCCTGTCCTTTCTGTCAAGAAAATATATACATCTTTAAAGTAAAAATAATATGTTTTTAAAATAATTACATCTTTTTAAAATATATTATTTTCAATCAAAAACACAGATTTTGTTTTTGACAAAAAAATCATGTCCGGTGTGTAGTCAAATTAATAATAATTTAATACTACTTTATCATATCATTATAACAGATAATTGCTATTCGACCTATATACACTGACAGCATCAGTTTGAAGTTAAGTGACCATAGATAAGCAGAGATATACCGGTTGCACGGTTTCAAAAACAAAATTTTGCAGGAGGATTCGGTTTTGTGTGTGTTCGAAATTCTTAATATAGGGAGTCATTAAATAAATGTATTACTTTTCAAAGTGCTGATATAGTAGAATTTCTTCTAATACTCTTTCCTTTTTCGGGGGAGACTAGAATGCTATTAAACTTATATTATTGTTCCAATGTGTAGTTTTCATGTAGTAGTTTTAAAATATCAATGTTTGTTAATTTGTGAATTTTCGGTATGGTTAGTACAGCCCATTAAATAAAGGTAAAAAATGGCAACCCCAGCTTCGGTCAGGCAGTATAATATAGGCCGAAAAAAAAATCGTTATTACTTCCAAAAATTGTCATTTGCCTCTGCTTAATTGTATGTGTATATGGTTTTGAAGTGAAAAATAGGTTGTTTCTTAACGACGAAAAAGGCTGTCTTGTCACCGAACACAAACAATTGTCGGCTTCAAGTTCTTGTCCGTACTTTCTAACTTTTGTCTGTCTGGGCATACGGCCTTTTGCCATTCATCGACGGTATTTGATTCTTGAAAATACAGTTTTTTCAAAAACATGCTAATTAAAATAAGAATATGGAACTATTTTTAGATTATTTAAAGAAGAATAAGATTTATTTTGTACTGTTTTTGCAACGGAAACTTTTGAAAAAGAATAATTTTCCCCATTTATTTCCAAATTTTCCTCTGTTTCTTCGCAACTCAATCTTTTATGTGTAAAGCCTTCCTTGATAAACGAAATAACCAACATAGAAAAGCATTTTTCGATTCGTAACAATAGTTCCTAAGATTAGCGCTTAAAACAAACTCTTCAACTTCAAAATAACAGTATAAATTTTCTCTAAGTCTAAAACTGATTAAACGGCTTCGGATAAAAATTGACCTTCAGCCGGCCACTAGTGATAAGAACGTCATTTCTAACAGTCTCAATACGAGTGATTCTAACAACAGACGCGTTATAATGATAAGTAAACAAGTCATTGTTTATTTAATTTGTTGCTTGTATGCTTTCGTTACTTCTGTCACTATAATAAATCGTTACGATGATTGTGTTTTAGACGAATCTCTGATACGAGAGATTAGAAGTTACAAAAATATAACGGATAAATTAATTAATGATATAGTTAACGCCAATTTAGGACCGGGAATGTATGAACAGTGAGTCTGTAGTTTACACAAGTGTTACACATTAATTCATATATAGGATAAATAGAACCGTTTTATGCTTACCTGCCATTATAGTATGTTTCATTTGTTTTAGATTCTCAGAATTTATAGACAAATTTGGTGCGCGACTGTCGGGCAGCGATGTTTTGGAAAATTCAATTGATTATATGATAAACTTAACCGTCGCTTCTGGAATTGATGATGTTACTACCGAAGAAGTCGAGGTAAGAACTACGCGTAAGCCATAATTTAAACTATTTTAAACTTTTATCAGAACGTGCGTTTATATGAAATTGTTTTATAGGTTCCCCATTGGGTACGTGGGTTCGAATCGTTGGAGATGTTACAACCTCGATACAAAAATATAGCTCTTCTCGGTCTCGGTTCTTCAGTTCCTACGCCAATCGAAGGAATAACTGCCGAAGTCGTAGTGGTTAAATCATTTAAAGAATTTAATAATACGAGTGATGACCTCGTTAGAGGTAAGATTGTGTTGTTCAATGCACATTATATAACATATGGGGAAACCGTGGCGTATAGAGTACAAGCAGCTTCTAAAGCTGCAGAAAAAGGAGCCGTAGCTTCCCTCATTCGAAGTATTACCCCATATTCCTTATATACACCGCACACTGGAAGCCAACACTATGATAAAGGCGTTCCCAAAATACCAACAGCAGCAATCACAGTTGAAGACGCACATTTACTACAAAGGCTATACGATCGTGGCAACAAAATTGTTCTAAAGCTAAAAATGAACAATACTTTAGATACAAAACTCTCCCGAAATACAATAATAGATTTGAAGGGATCAGCTTATCCCGATAAACACGTGATCGTTTCCGGTCATATAGACAGCTGGGATGTAGGTCAAGGTGCAATGGATGATGGCGGTGGTATGATGATAAGCTGGTATGCTCCTATAGTTCTTAACCATTTCAACCTGCGACCTAGAAGAACGCTTCGCGCAATCTTATGGACGGCGGAGGAACCCGGTCTAGTAGGAGCTGCCGCGTATTTACAACGTCACAGAAATGAGCTAGATAAGATTAATTTTATAATGGAATCCGATGAGGGGACCTTTAAACCGCTAGGTCTAGAAGTAGCTGGAACAAAAGAAGCGATTTGTATAATAGCTGAAATAATAAAGCTGTTCAAGCCGATTGACAAAATGGTTGTAAGTGAAAGTCCCGGCTCGGATATTACCCTATTCATAGGTAAAGGCATTCCCGGAGCGTCTTTATTGAATAAGAATGATAAATATTTCCGATATCACCACTCAGAAGCAGACACAATGGATGTAGAAAAGAAAGATGACGTTGTTAAGTGTGCCGCGTTTTGGGCGGCTGTTTCTTATGTCATTGCTGATTTATCCGTCGATATACCTCGAAACTAAGTAATAACAACGACGTCGATATCTAATTTCGACCACGTATATATACAAAAATTCAGTGTGAACAGTACAGGTGAAAATATTTAATCAACGTCATTATTTATTTGTGGAAACGAATCTGAGATGGAATAGATAGAAGTCTTTGTCAATGTTTTGTGAAATTATATGATACAGTACTGAATGAAAGGAACAATAAATTCGGTATCGAAAATAGGGAAACAGTACGGAAATCCCGATAGTCTGAAACAGTACAAAGTTCAGAAGCAAAAGCATTCTTGGCACCGAATTGCACTCTAGGAAAAATGTATTGCAAAAGCTCTCAGCATTTCAATTGATTCGGAATATGTTAGAGAAAGTGGAAACGATGAGTTTGAAATATCTCTGGTCCGTGTTTGAAATATGGATTTCGGTATGGTTCTAGATACTTTTGTGAAATCTCATTCTATAAAAGCATAAAAAATCGGATTTAAACAAAAATATAGTATCATTAGCCAGAACTAAATCTCACGACCTGACCATTCCTCGTTGTTGCTCTATTGTAATTGAGCTTTTTTTTCAATCTGAAATTGATTTTTAGTTTATATAAGAAAACTTCGAAGTTTGTGAATAGTAAATCTAAAACTATATTAAATTCTTCTGAATACTGTAAACATTTTAAAGGAATAGTAAAAAACGTGCAAATTTCGACAAAACAAACGATTTCCTTTTTGATTATTTCAACAACATTTAAAATAATAATCTTAGCATAGAATTTGTTTTAATTTTATAGAGCATAGTGTATTGTATTGGCGATATTCACAATTATCAATATGTTTGAATTTCGGAAGCCCTCTCGTTTCTGTATACATTGTGTTCATCATCTCGTTTACACAAATTAACGCTCGTTTGTGCGTCAAAGCATGCCAATTGTTCGATATTACTGAGTTAAATACGCCATGCAAAAATACCTGCGTACATGTTTGGTTCACTTGTGTGTTTAATTACTAAGTGTCAGTGTTAAGGTTGAAATTATATTGCGCGAAAGGGGCATGTTTTAAAAGGTTGAAAAAAAGTTCGACGATGACGTATAGGACTCCGTAGCTCAATTGATTAGAGCAACAAATGTAGGGTCCTGCCTGAATTGTAAAGTTTTTCAATGTATAATCGATTATTTGATTTATAAAGTGTCTATGATTTTTATTTATTTACTAGCAGACCTGGCAAATGTTCTTTTGTCATTTGAAGTATTTCGACTGACAGTTGACTACCAAACACACGGTTCTTGTGTGTTAATCTTAAAAGATATACATATACTGTCGCGGACTTAAATATATATTTAGGCATATTATTTGGATATATTGAATCCTTTTTACAGCTCACATAAGAGAAACCCTCAAACATGATTATTTTATATTTCCCACTGTTTTGCAGCTTGATGTTTTATAAACAAGAGCCTTCATTGATAAATGCCCGAACGAAAACAAAAATATTTTTCAATTTTAGCCTGTAGTTCCAGAGATAAGCGCTTTTAGACAAATAAAAAAAACTCTTCAAATGTTTAAGATGTTTGCCAAGGTAGAATATTGTTTCGGCATTGCTTTAAAGAAATGTATTTTATTTTACAATTATTAATTATTTTGTACTTTTTACCTATTATAAACAATTTTGTGAAAGAAAAATGACACAAATGTTAATGGCTACCTACGCCTTCTCAAACTTAAATATTAATATTTTAACAATATATTTTTTAATGATATAGGGTAACAAAACTCACTGGTACCATTGCCAAAACAAACTCTGAGTTCGAGACCCGGGTAAACAATTTTTTTTTGATCGAGCAGGGAACAATAGTCAGGTCCAAACTTGGCTGTGAATAAAATTAATTACTGAACGGATAATTGCTTGCACATCGTTAAATCTACACATGTAACTGTAGACAATATTATTTTAGAATCCCTGAAATATTACTAGGTCATACAGCCCTCCTTGCTAGTTCACGTTGTTTAGACGCCTTTAAAATTAACACTAGGCTATCTACATCAGTAGGTTTTTAGTATAAATCTACTAGAAGTTTACTTACGTACTTACAATACATTTCCCAAATAGAAAAAAGATCAAGATGGAGAGAATCGAAACCTCCGCCCGGGTCGAACCACCGTAAACAGACGAAGAAGCCGTCAAGTTTAATGGCGCTTCGGTTTCAGTCTATGGAGTGAAATGGCCGTAGTTACCTATTTTCAAGTGAACTTGATGTTATATCATAAAATAGGGAAAAAGATTCACTATAAATAAACGTAATCGTGGGTTGCTAGTAACCATAAATTTAAATGTAAAAGTCGAATCTCCATATTGAGTGTTCTGCCAATTCAATTACGATTCCGACATTCAATGATAATACTTTACCAATACAAGAGGAAGGTTTTGATTTATTAACGTTTGTTTTGCCTTTCAAATAAGCGTGTACTATTGACTTGGCTATAAATCAAATGGGATAAAATTGCTGCTTTTCCATTTCCTTACAGCTTTAGCGTTTTTAATATCTTTTCGTTCCATCGATAATTTAACACAAACACTGATAAGAACTTCTGTTTTAATCAAAAAAAATTGTCATCGAAGTTTTAGAACTTTTACGATAAAGGACGACTACCATATCGTAATGGAGATTGAAATATCCCAGCGATATAAACATCGGAACAATTTATAGAATACTTATGATAAATTCAATAAAACTTATTATAACTAAGTCGGTAAATTAAGTGGGTAGTTTGACTTTTCAATTATTCTAATCAAAATCTATCTAATTTATATAATAACTGCAAAACTTAAATTAATAGGATCAAAGAAGTATCCATTAGTTTTTTGTTTCAAGAAATGTTGGACTATATTATTTTCAAGAATTGTTATGACAGAGAGGGACAGAGACATTAGACATTAGACCAACAAGTCCTGCGAGTTTTTTCATCATATATATGTTATGGTAAATCATTTGTTAATACAAATGGTTCCTTTTAGGAGGCCCGGAGTTTATATGAATTATAAAAATATATTAGACGTTAGCCAGGGACGGCACAAACGTGTCTGCCCGTGCCTAACACATACCTACAATTCCTTACATAGTTAATCAACAATGTAATAAGATTTTAATAAGTTTAGTTTGTATCTTAATTTATTTTATTTTTCATGTTGCTATTTTGTATTAAAAATTATACAAATATAGATAATATCCACAAAATAATAACTACTTATATAAAAAACCGCTTAGCTCTCTGGAATAACGACTTTTTCTTTAGATTAAACGGAACATTTTCTTATAATAATGATATCATTGACGAAATATTAAAGGCAAATGACATGGAGGAACGCGTAACGATGCGGAACTAACGACGTCTCTCGTATGAGGTACGCCACAGTTGTAATAAAAACAATAAGGTAGATTATTATCATAATACGAGGTATTTTATTAAGAGAACGATTGACAGGCGCTATACAGAGAAATCTGATTAATACGGAACCTTTTACTCTTAGGGTACGGAACCCGAATATATTTTGGAATTTACAAGATTCAGTTTTTCATAAAATATTCGGGCTTACTATTCCATCGCGCCAGCTTTAAACAGAAGCAATACTGTTCCAAATATACTGTGCCTATAATAATATGAATGATACTCGACGGGTTGAGAGCAAAGGGGTTGAAATCCAAGATATGGCTCATAAAGTTTCAATAACGACAATTTGGTAACCTGTTCTTGTAATAGTTACATTGGGAATTGTTTCTGGTCCATTATAGATAACGCTTTATGGCTTTCCGAATTTCATTAAAGTAGAACCGTGTGAAATTATTTATTTCCGTAATTTAGGTTAAAAATCTTAGCAATAACGCCCAATGTATGTTTTGCTTTACACATTTTAAATAGCGATTTGCAATGAGTTTTACGCATGGGCTTTCAATTCAAGTTGAAATAAGTAAACCAATACATTTCAAATTTTAAACCGTTATTAGTGTTTAATAACCAGTAGGTATTAAATTTAGTATTATCTGTAGTTAACACGCGTAAACAACAGATAATATTTAAATAATGACTGTCAAGGTTTTTCTACGTGGTAAGTTTGTTATATGCTTGTAAACAAAGTAAAAAGGACACACTTATGTGTCTATTTAATTCCGTACGACCGCCTGTGTAGCCAAATGGTTAAACGTATTGCCTAGCGTTGCGTTAAGCGCGAGAGGTCCTGGGTTCGAATCCCAGGGAAACAAATAATTTTTTTCCCTGGGACAGGGACAAGGCACAGAAGTCTGATCAACTACTTGTCTGTTCCAGAGCGGATCAGTGAAACGGGCACAGAAATGTGTTCGCCCCATGATTCTTTGTTCTCCTCTATCATAAATAATTGTGAATAACAATTCCCTTCCAAATTGTCGAGTCATAACTAGAGAATAGAATGTCGTTATAGGAAGTACCTCCTATTAAGCCTTTTCAAATACTGTCTGTAATTCACGCCAGTAGTACACATAAAAAACACATTAACGGTTTAAAACGCGGAATATATTGGTTTAATTTAAATAAAAAAATATGCTGCAAAGCATCCAAAACATCGGTTTCGGATGCTTTGCAGCAGCCGTGGTCACGAGGCACGTGGTTTCGATGCAAAGCTTCCGAATACATTTCGCATTTTAAACCGTTAAAAATGTTGAATTTAATATGTACTACTCGCGTAATCTCATCAATCAATAGGTTTAACCGCTAAAGTATTTTATTTAAATAAAGCTTGTTTATTAAAATATTTCTATGAATCTTCTTGCTTTTTCGCAAGATACTAAGAAATAAGATAAGAAGCGAGACACTTATTTTGTCCCATTAAAAGGTTCGTTGCAGTCGAGAAGAATTTAAAAATTCGCAACACAATTTTCTTCCATCCAATCGGCTTTTGTAACGCCTTTGTTGTTTTATCTCAGGCGTAATAAATCCGAGAGGAAAGACGGGAAAAGTTTGAAACTGCACAACAAAAGGTTTCGTGCGCACCACATCGGAATGGTGCGAGTTCCTTTCAGCCAGGTTTCAGCAAGTTCTCTTAAGGGAAAACTTTTCAATGCAAGAGTATAACATGAAACAAACGTGTTGCTTATTTTCGTTCTCTTTCGTTGTGACCACGAACTTTGTTAACGTGAAACGATTAGTTAAAAATTAGTTAAATAAAACACTTCAACGCGATATATTTTAGTTAATCTTGTTTGAAAATTATTTTTAACTACGACCCGACGTTTCGGATGCTTTGCACCAGTGGTGGTCACGGGAGACCGTTAAAGTGTTTTATTTAAACGTGTACTACTTGCGTAAACTACACACAGTATTTAATCATAAAAATTGATTTTTGTGTTTTTTTCTCAAAAATCACATCGACAAGTATTTTTATTTTATAGATTTATATTAATATAGAAATATTTACAGCTAAAAGTACATTATTAATTTAATTATACAAAAAATAATGTATATTAATAAATCTATAAAATTATCCAAGTGACAAGACATTTTGAATTAAATATAATCTTACTTACTATTTATAGATACATAAAACTAGAAATTAAACGAAAAATTGTAAATTAATTTAAAATATAAATAAAATATTTATTTTAAGTTTTCAATATCAGCCATCGGAACCTTCGGGTATAACTTAACCATAGTTATACAATTCAATAAATTTCACGTTTTAAACCTCTAAAAGTGTTCTTATTAATGTCCACACGTTAACTACAGGTAAGGCTCAATTCAGAAATAAAAAGAACACAAACAAATGGCGGGCAAGTAATATAACGCTCATTTAGTGGCTCTATTTCTCTGGATCTAGAAAGATTACCTCCAATTGTCCAAGTAATTAGTGTAGCAAATCCCGGACATTTTCCGGACTAAGAACATCATTAATCTAAATGGAGCATCTTTGACCGTGTGTTGTGTGGATAACAATTTGCTCTTGTTTCTATTTTTACTTCGTGTTATTACTTTATATTGTACAGTTTGTTTCTTTGGATTCGCTAATCTCTGGAACGATGATGGAAAGGAAAAAAAACCCAAGAAAAGGGGGGGGGGGGCCCCAAAAAAAAAAAAAAAAAAAAAAAAAAAAAAAAAAAAAAAAAAAAAAAAAAAAAAAAAAAAAAAAAAAAAAAATTTAAAAAAAAAAAAAAAAAAAAAAAAGGGGGGGGGGGGGGGGGGGGAGGGGGGGGGAAACGGGGGAAAAAAAAAATTCCCCGACTTGGCAATTGATGCAAATGTCCGTTAAACTTAGCACTTAGGTAAATGTGGAAGTATCGACACCTAATTATTCAAACGAATAGTAAATCTTCGCGCGAATCTCGAAAATAAAAATCAGTAACACAAAAATAACTTGGCCTCCGAATCGTATTATCATTTACGAAATAAATTGCGTGGAAGTGGACGTGCAGTGAAGTGTCGATTTTGTCTTTTTTCGCTTAATTATAAACGAAATGCAATCATTACGTGGTCGTTCATTTTGCAGAGTGTCACAATTTTGTAGTGCTAATAATTTTAGGTACGAGTGTAAACAATGTTACCTTGATGAGTAAAACATTATTTTATGTTATTCACTAATGATAAGAAAGATAATACATTACTGTCGTTTACATACTTATAGATGCAAGATTTTCAATTTAATACACAAATAACATTACATAGATTTATTGCAGTGAATGTAAAATAATTCAAAATGCACTTATTAATGGTAAAACACTGCGTTTTATTTATCAGTATAGAATATGGGAAAGTCATACAAAGTCACGATAAGCTACATTACTAGATATCAGTTCTAATATTAAGATAATAGTATTGTTGTTAATTGTACTGTTTATATAATTCAAAGTTTTCACTACTTTAACAAATTTTTATCAAAATTAGTCCAGCTGTTGATACGTTAGAAAACAAACTTCTATCCTTTAAATATACACAGAAAAGTTTTCTATAAAATAGGATATTCATATATTAATAATTAGCTGTACCCGTGACTTTGTTCGCGTGGAATAGTGACTTGGGGTAGAATTTTTAATTATTTAGGCTGTTTGTTAATTTATGTAAGGGCGCATTTAAGGCAGCCAATCTATGTTGTAAGTGCTACTTTGCCTCAACACTCTCACCACACATCACTCCTACTCTAACTTCCACTCCCACTCCCGCTCGCATTCCCACTCCCAGTCCTATTCCCAAAAAGCCAAAGAAGAAAGTTTCATTGTTCTAGCTTCAAAAACCACGAATTTCCATACAAACTTCATCCCCTTTTTCAACCTTTTGTTGGCTCCTTTCTCAGGCTCTAAAATGTCTGTGTACCAAATTTCATTTAAATCAGTTCACTAGTTTCGGAGTTAAAGCCGGACAGACAGACACAGTTCCTTTAAAAAAAATTTATAGATTATAAAAATCTCACACGGTTTCGAATCTATGACCACGCAGCTAAAGTCACCAATGTAATTTCAACCTCCACACTTATACATTTAAACTAAATAAGGTACGTTATACAGATTAGTAAGTGCCAACGTTGCGGTGAAGCACTCAGACAGTGTCAAAACATGGCAAGAGATTCCAGGTCCTTCCTCCTTACCTATTATTGGGCAACTACATCATTTTCTTCCTGGTGGTATGTTAGTAGTCATAGCTTTTCCTGATTAAAAAGATTGCTAAGAATATTTATCGTCAGTACTTTGTCAGGCTCATTAGTGTAATTATAGCAGGGTATGGCTAATAATCGACAAGTCGTGGGTTCGATCCCCACCTCGCTCAATATTTTTCTAATTAATTCATAATTTTTCTGAAATGTTTTGGTCTTCATCTGAAACATCCAGATATTAAATGGTTGGTAGGAAAGGAATATCAACAGATGAAAAAGCAGTCAAATCTCTTTATTTATTTTAACTACCTATATTATTGCTATTGTATTAACTTCTACTTAAAACAATGTCAAACAAATACGACAGTATTATTTTTATACACATATGCAGTATTTTTAAAATATAATTATATAAATTAATTTTAACATTTAATGTCTGACGTAAGAGTTGTTTGTAAAGGTCGTTGAATACCGGTTTTTTTTTATTGCCAATTAGCCAAACAACTCGCGTACGTCCACTTCCCCCGTTAAGATTATCGTAGTATTCATGTGAAATAAAAATACAGTGTAAACTCCATGTAACGTCACTCTATTTAACGACAAACTCTCTTAAGCGTCGAAATTAATTGGCTTTGGTTGGTTTAGCTTGTTTTTCATACAATGTTTCTTCTCTCCATTTAACGACAACTCTCTATAACGCCATAAAATGCACAGTCCCTTCAGTGTCGCTATATAGAGTTTACACTGTAATTGAAAAATATTAAGAAAAAATGTATTGATATTGTTAATGATTAATGATCGAGAAGAAAGTAAAACATTTTCAAACAAAACGTCGGGTCTTGCTTAAAACCAAACGAATTGATTTTAAGATTTTTTTAATAGGCGATCAATGTTTTATTTAAGATATATCAACGGTTTATCACAAATACTAACATAATATCTTGCTAAAAAGAAAAATGTATACTATTACAGTTAACTAATACTTTCAGGTTCTCTACACAATAAAAATCATGCGATGTACGATATATTACATAAGCAATACGGTCCAATTGTTAAAATAAAATTTCTAGGACTGCCTATTTTAATTATACATTTATACGACGCAGATGCTGTAGAAACGGTAAGTTCTTTATTCAAATATTTTTTTAAGTCTACCTGACATTGAAATTAACGATTATTTTTATTATTGTCATATCACATTATATTTTATCAAACGAAAGCATTAGGTTCTAGAGGTGACCGCCACCGTGATTAATGTTTTTATCATAGCGGTGAACCCAAGACCGCCAAGAACAATACTTGGACTTCGATCTAGTAGCATATGTAATAAAAACGTCTAGTATGGCATCTCACAGACTTAGACGTACATAAATAAAGACACGTTTTTATAATCCTAAGGTCGTTCGAGGCGAAGATACATTACCGGCAAGACCAGCTTTTCTGTCTTTGGAATATTACAGAAATAATTACATGAAGGATGAAATTAGTTCGAATACAAATTCTACTGGGCTCATAACTGAGTAAGTCTTAGAGTTTGAAATATAAATTCTATAATAATGTAAATTTCTATAATAATATAAATTCTATATTATTAAATTATTATTTTTATAAACAAATACTTTATATTAAAATAACGTTAAGATTTATTAGGTCATCGAATGTTACAATTAATATTTATTTTCTAGACATGGAGAGCGATGGAAGTCGATGAGATCAAAAGTCAACCCAATAATGTTACAACCTAAAAGAGTTAAGCTTTACAGCAAAATCTTGGACAAAGTATCCGAAGATATGCTCGACAGGTAGACCTGATTCTTTCAAACCTATATACCAGATTGAATCAAACAAAGATAAACTTAGATAAATGATTTTAAATTCCCAGATTAAAATCCAAATTAAATAACAAAAATATGATTGATGGAATAAGACAAGAAATGACGATGTGGTCCCTGGAAGCAGTGAGTGTTGTCTCACTCGGTCAGCGACTGAACTGCTTCGATCCCAATTTACCAGCAGATTCACCCGCGAAGAAGCTAATGAAGAATATGCATGACGTATTTTATATGGCGGAAAACTTGGATCTAAAACCAAGTCTTTGGAGATACTTCTCAACACCATTGTTCAAAACAGCTATGAAAACATATGAAGAGCAATGGCAGTATGTACTTTAAAACTTAACGTTAATGTAAGAAAGGTATAGTTAGTAACAATAGACAATTTAGTAAGCTAGTTTATGATAGAAGTTATAATACATAAAGTGCAATTGAATAGGAACATTTTAATATATTATTCCTTTTTAGACTTAGCAGTTATTTTGTTAAGAAGAGAATAGAAGCCCTTAAAAAGGAGGGAAAGAAACCAGACGATGAAACGGGTATTCTCGAAAAACTTCTAGACATAGATGAACGCACCGCAGTGCTTATGGCTGGAGATTCGCTCTTTGCTGGTATTGACACGGTAAATTATACTTCTTAAATATAGTGTATCAATATCATAATAAAAAATATTGTCTTTAAATAAAACACTTTAACGGTTTAAAACGTCTCCCCGTGACCAGGCTGCTGCAAAGCATCCGAAAGTCGGGCCGAAGTTAAAAATCATTTTCAAATAAGTTTAACTAATATATCGCGTTTTAAACCGTTAAAGGTTTTATTTAAATGTGTACTACTCGCGTAAAGTATAGACAGTATTTAATATTGTCTTACGTAATTTTGGCGTGAAACATCATCCTCGTTGATCTAGAATTATGTAGAATATTGTATGAAGATCTAGAATATTGTATGAACGTTTCATCATCAGACTTGAGATTAGAAGAAGGTTAAAACTCCTGTGCGTCTTAGAGAACGTTAAGCGTCGGCTGCCGTGCAAATATTAAACTCTGTCTCTCACAAAAGAGATCACTGTTTCCAGCAATTAAACATTTCACCTTATTAATGTCCATTCAATTTTTCAGGTGTCAAATGTAGTAATATCTATTCTATACTTTTTGGCGCAAAACCCTGAAAAACAAGAGAAATTGAGGGAAGAGATTATTTCTGAAGATCCCAAGCAATCGTACCTGAAAGCATGCATCAAGGAAGCGTTACGTCTCATACCTATAACGCCAGCGAATCTAAGGAAAGTTTCCAAGGAGTACGATGTACTAGGTTACAGAATACCTAAGGATGTAAGTTTCTCCTTTAGGCAACCAGTGTTTCCAGAATTTGTTCTTCCATTCTGATTACTACAACAAAACAGATATATCAGATAATTCAACTGTATGGGTTGGTCTTACAACTTGAAAGATAAAAGAAACTTTCAGTTACGAAGGTTAATGTTTTTAAAAGTACTCAGTGACATAACTTTTATTGTTTAAAACACGTTTAAAACCGCCTGTCATATCCCTCATGTAGGTATTCAATATTTACTTATGGTATATGGTCTTTGTAAGTTTGCATTATTTCCAGGCACTTGTTATTATGAACCATGGTGTCCTATGCAAAATGGAGGAGCATTACCCAAAGCCGGATGAGTTCATACCTGAGCGATGGGTCGTTGATAAAAGTGACCCTTTGTATTATGGTCACGCCCATCCCTTTGCATACAGCCCGTTTGGGTATGGAACACGAAGTTGTATTGGTCAGTATGTATACGAAGCTATTTTTATTTGTAACTACGAAAGTCAAAATATATAGTATATGTCCAAGGTGCTGCTTAAATGTATCTGTTTGTTATACTGTGTAATGAAACTATTTTATTACTAACTAAAAATACAAATTAATTTTCTTTTTTTTCCAAAAAAAAATTTATTTTCATACAAAAGTCGTTTAATTTGTCGCGCATAAAATGCATGCAGATGAGTCAATACCTATAATTAGATGTTTTTTTGTCAATTCCGCTATAAATTCCTACGTCTAAACTACTGGACCGTTTTTAATGAAATTTTGCAAATACGCTCTCAACTTTCTAAGGCACAATATATCAATAATAGTGATAAGTGTGGCACAATATAAATTAATAAAAATAAAATACATAATTTATTTTTAAATAGTTATACCAACAAGAAAATAACGGGAACGAATACTTTTATGGTTTTCTTTTCCTGAATCAAAAATGAACACAATCCAAATACTGTCTATAGTTTACGCGAGTAGTACACATTTAAATAAAACACTTTAACGGTTTAAAATGCAAAATATTTTAATTAAAGTTTATTGTTTGTATGTGTTTCAATTAATTATATTTTAGGCAGAAGAATAGCTCAGCTCCAAATGGAATCATTCGTGCCGAAAATAGTAAGAAATTTCCACGTATCTTGGGAAGGACCTCCTGCTGAAGTGGACGTAGCTATGAGCAATTACATCAAGGGAGATTTGCCATTTGTGTTTAAGAAGTTAAATTAACTTAATTTTATTACAGAATCAAATTAATGATTATAATGTAATTTTATTTAATCGCAAGTTTTTGAATTTATATATTTTTTCGAATTTAATTACCAATTAAATTACTTACTTATTTATGTACCTCAAAATTGCACTATTCCACGTAGTCGCGGACACAGCTAGTGTTTAATAATTTTGTAATCCTTGATATAAATATTTAAAACATTACTTACACGCGTTATTTAATAGTATTATTACACGATTGGGCGAGTAGTACAAATTTAAACAAAACGTATCTAACGACTTAAAAACGGAATTAGGTTTAAAATAGGTTTAAAAATGTCTGTAACAAAAATCATTGATACACTAGGAAGCGGCGCAGGCGTTCCCTAATTCTCATTCAAGGGCAAGCTATTCTAATACTGACTACACACACGCCATTTAGTAGGAATCGCGCCGCATATCAAACGCGTTGTTTTCTATAACTGTGTATAAAATAACAAAAATTATCAGCGCTTATCATGCGTTGATAAGGAAATTTTAGGCGTAAATGCCGAAGAGTTAGTTTCTTCAAATCAAAATAGTGTTGTGTTTTGTTTACAAACATGCAAGCTGTACGGAATTCTTTACCACGCCATGTGACATCTATGTACAAGAATATAAACAGGTAACTATTGTTATATATTATAAGGTAAAAACTAATCATTACATTGTTTTATTCAAAGCCACGGCTTCTTCAAAGCTATTTTGTAATATTGCAACATATTTTCTTGTTTCGCGTAAAATACAGACACTAAAAGGTAGACAATTGTGCACTATCCGATGAAAACTGATTTGTTTTTCCGCGACTCGAATCTAGAAACGTTCGCTTGATAACGAAACCAGATATATATCGATACTAATATATAAAGCTGAAGAGTTTGTTTGAACGCGCTAATCTTGGGAACTACTGGTTCGAATTGAAAAATTATTTTTGTGTTGGGTAGAGCATTTATCGAGGAAGGCTATATGCTTTAACAACGCGCTGTAACTTATAGGAGCAGCGAAATAGCAGGAAATGTGGAAAATAAGGGAAAAATTATTCATTTTTGTGAATTTCCAATGCATACGCCGCGAAAAAATATTTATGAAAATCGCTGACACAGCTTGTTATGTATATAATCAGAACCGATGTCTACATGTATAAGTATTTAACATAAAACAATATTTACTTATCTTCCACACTCAGACTGATTTACACAATGCAATAATACTGTGACCTTGACTCTGTAAATATACAAACGTTTTGAAGGTCACTGTTAGATATACATTAATGCGTCATATCAACATATTATCGTGGATTTGTTATCTAAAGTAAGGATCATGCAATATATTTTCAAAATCAATATGAAATATGAATATTAAACCGTGTAAATAATAGCTTGATTACTTAACTACACGAATTGTGTCTTTTGAAATCCAAATCTATATAGGTCGACTGAAAATCTTGTTTGGATGTTATACGGCTGGGTGTTTTACCGGTCGTCCTCTATCATTAAAAAAACAGTTATTCAAAATATTTTCATTTCTGTATTATCAGTCCTAAAAGTATTTACCTTACACAATACATTATTAAAGATAAATTATTTTCCAAAAGACTATTGCAAGTTCTTAATGAAGACGTTAATTTTAGGAACTTTGCAGCTAACACTCTAGTAGCGCAAATAAGCCTGGAAAATCATGGAAAGAAATTCCCGGACCTTCTTCATTACCAATTATTGGGCAGGCGTTTCATTTTTTACCAGGGGGTAAGAGTGGTGGATAGTTAAATATTTTAGGATTGAGAAAGATTAAGCAGTTAGTAAATTACCTTAGACGTTTTAATAAAAGTAAAGAAGGAAGCAATTGGATGTAAGGGAAAAGAAGCACCATAAACACTGACTTTTTATCCATTGTTTTGTGTATTGTTAGTTTTAGTTAATAGTAGTAAATTAATAGTAATAGTAAACTAAATCAAAAAAACAACCAAAAACCAACGGCCAACAATAGAAATGTTGTTTGAGGTTTAAAATCATGTTTCTTCAATTCAAAGAACGTCACTAAGACACGTGTATGCTTGTTTACTGTTGTGCTAAGTAATTGATCAGATTTCTGTGTCCCGTTTGATCCAAAGAGATTTGATTCTTGAGATTCGAACCCAGGAGCCCAGTAGCTATCACGACTAGCTAGGAAATGCCAAAACACGCACCTACAAGAAAAAAACGTAAAGGTATTTAATATTTCAGGAGCGCTCTCTAATCTGGAAAAACTATTGGAGGTATTTTGTACAAAATATGGTCCCATCATCAGGCTCGAAGGAAGTTTTGGAGCTCCGACCTTAATATTCGTATTAGACGCTGAAGCATCTGCGCAAGTACGTTACAACAAAATTGGTTAAGAATATGAAGTCAAAATGACGTATTACCATACCACAATTCCAGATTTTACGAGGCGAGAACTGGATACCATACAGACCAGGTTTCGCCAGTCTGGAACATTACAGAAAGACGATAATTCCTAATAATTCCGATCAGACCACAGGTCTGTTGACTGAGTAAGTGATTAGTCATAGAAGATTAGATATTTCAGATATTTTCATTTTTCGCTATCCTTTGACAGGCTCGTGGTTGATGATCTAACGGTTCGTGGGTTCGATTCCCACCGAATCCAACATGAAAATATACCTTGTGTATCTATACGTGAAATACTTGTGTAGTAAAGTCAACTTTTAAAATTAATAAATTCATAAAACGATGATAAATTAATTGTATATCAATTATTTTATTTAAAGACTTAACTAAGACTTGATTCTTTTTACGTAGGCACGGTGAACCATGGAAGAAATTTCGATCAGCTGTGAACCCTATAATGTTACATACAAAGACGATTAAACTGTACAGCAAGATTCTGAATGAAGTTGCAGACGATATGATTGCTCGGTAAGTAGCTCGGTAAGAAAAGTGTTGTTAGTCGAACATTGAAAAAAAAAACTGTTCAATAAAATAAAAAGTCGTTGGTTTAAACTAAATAAACTCTTTTAACCAAAGCTGTAAACAATTAACGTTCATTCAATATATGCTGAATATTAAACTTTGAATGTGTGAATTTGAAATACTACTAATCGAAAAAACAACGCTTTATTAAAATATAACATTATGTGTTGATAAGTGTATTAAGAAATAAGGTAATTAACATAAATACGTATGTAATACACATCGATGAAAACATTTTTAACGGTATAAACACCTATAGAATTCCATTATAAAAAAATCCTTGTCTTCTTTTAGCTTTGACTTAACCACGGCTGTTGCAAAGTATCCGAAACGTCAGGCCGTCGTTAAAAATAATTTGTCAACAAGTTTACCTAATATATGTCGCGTTTTAAACCGTTAACTGTGTTTTATTGAATTATGTTCTATTCACGACTACAGACAATACTTTAAAACATATTTCTTCATTAATATATTTTAGGGTTAAGTCTCGAATGTATACCAAAATATTTCGTGTTTTGAATCGTTTTAAACATGTAATATGAAACCGTAGTAGTATTTTTTTCTCTAATTAACATCGTTTTGTAGGATGAGATACAAACGCAACAGCAAAAACGAGATCGAAGGAAAATTCGACGTGGAAATGAATTTGTGGTCTTTAGAATCCATCGGTGTAGTCGCACTTGGGGGTCGGTTGAACTGCCTCGATCCCAACCTGCCCGAAGACTCTCCAGCACGAAAGCTGATACAGACGGTACACGATATATTCATTTTGTCGAATGAATTGGACTTCAAGCCTAGCTTTTGGAGGTATTTCGCGACACCGACCTATAAGAAGGCTATGAAGAGTTATGCAGAACAAACAAGGTAAACTGATGCTGTATATGACGTAACGTTAGAAAAACTAGAATATTTTAATAGCTAGTATTATCCTTATAGAGTCATCGAGAAAGAAGCGATTTTTTCGTAAACAATATTCAATTCGAATGAAATCGAGATTCATTTATTGGTGTTAGCATAGACACACTTATAAACTCCAATACATTTGAAAACATGAATATTTTTCACATGTTATTGCACATGAAGGCACTATATAATTTAAAAATCGAAAATAAATTGAAAAAATTTTCGACTCGGGCAGGACTTGAACCGGCATCGTCAGCTTTCCGTGCTGTTGCTCTACCAATTGAGCTACCGAGTCCTACACCTCATCCTCGAATTTTTTCAACTTATTGATACATGCACCTCTCGCGCAGTGTAATTTCAACCTTAACACTTGCGTACTAAGGTTCAATGTCTCATGCTTTGCAGCTTAAGAAATCATTGAAGATGAAATTACAAAGTTATAACGTTTGAAAACATTAATATTTTTCACATGTTATTGGACATGAAGGCACGCTGCGAAAACGGTTCCAGATACACAAAAAATAATGATGTATAAGAGAATGATTTTTCTTTAAATTGTCTATCTCTTAAAATTAAGTCGCAGGAATTTCGTATCTTACTTAAACTTTTTCCTAAGAACTAGTATAACAAAGCGCTGTTTTCCAAGCATTTTAAAGAAGATAACAATTCCGCAGAATAAGCGAATACTTCATTAATAAAGCACGAACAGAGTACAAGTCAAAGCAGACAAATGACGACGAGAAAGGCATATTGGAGAAACTTCTAGAAATAGATGAAAGAGTGGCTGTGATAATGGCCAGTGATATGTTGTTGGCTGGAGTGGATACCGTACGTGATTTTATTCTATGTAAAAATCTGACCTTGCTTTTCAAATATGAAGACGCTCCTTTAAATTTTGTGAGCAATTAAATGTGAATCCTGGTAAAGCAAATTTTTTTGTAAAATGGGTTCATATATATATATTTTTTAAATTATATTAGACCACCGCCAACCGTGTCGTTTTAAACCGTTAAATGTTTTTTTTTAAACGTGTACTACTCGCATAAACTACAGATAGTACAAAACTATTTTGTTTCCGAGGTTCGAACAATGGACGTCGGTTTATCAAAAAAGGCTTTCACGGACTGAATGTCCTATAACGAAGTATGTTATTACGAAGAATCGTTGTCACGCTAATCTTATAAACAAAGCAACTATTATAAAAAACATAAATAGAAGCAATAATTGCAAAATGACTATACAAAGGTTAGCTACAGCATTATTATTAGTAATTATTGTGCTTCCAGGCTGCAAACACAATGCTCGGAATATTATATTTACTCGCCAAGAACCCGGAAAAACAAGAGAAGTTAAGAGAAGAGGTGACGTCACATAGTGGAAGCAAAGCGTATTTGAAGGCGTGTATCAAGGAGTCATTGAGGATGATGCCAGTGGTCGCTGGGAACTTGAGACAAACTACGAAGGAGTACAATATTTTAGGATACACCATACCGAAAGACGTTGGTATTAACTATAAATTTATATCATATTTAACTATAAACCTTATTTTATATACGATATAAAATGATTTGCTTGACAGTACTCGCAATCCACTGGGGATATTTTTTATAATTGTCTTGAAAAGAAACACTATTTTTATGGAGTCTCCTAATTGGTAAAACTGCCGTTCGTTTTAAAAGAATCTACATTTTTCCTATGTTCATATTATAAACACATGTTTAACAATTTGGCTATATAGGCAGCCAAGCTTCAACGTACACAGCGTTATTTAGAAAAATACTTTTTCAGATGTTAGTAACCTTCGGCCATCAATATTTATCCTTAATCGATCAGCACTACCCCAAATCTAAAGAGTTCATACCTGAACGGTGGCTCGTTGATAAGACTGACCCCTTGTATTATGGAAATGCACACCCATTCGCCTACAGTCCATTTGGCTTTGGAGTCAGGAGTTGTATAGGTAAGTATTTTTTGTATTGTTATACAATATAGCTTATTGAAGAGGTGAAAACAACCAAAAAAAACAAAGCTTTTTCTGCCAAAACTACTGTATCAATTTTGATATTTATATAACACCATTGGATTCTATTAGTTAACTTATTTACAATTCATTTTAAGTATGGCACGTTTAGGATCCTTTGCAGCAGCCGTGGTAACGAGGGGAAGGAGGGGAAGGAGGGTGAAGGATGAATATAACCAATATATTTTTTAATATTCAGATGCTAAGCTAGCGCCATCTGTTTTGTCATTAGTTGGTTTTAATACTATTCAAAAGAGTATAAAGAATTCATTTGTTTAAAGTGTTATATTGCTAAAAAAAATTTATCGTTTGTGTGGAATTTACGGATTTTGAACCTTTAGTGCCGAATATTGTATAATATAGTACGTATATTTTAGCACACAGATTAAAAATCATTTTTGTCTTTTTAAGGTCGAAGAATAGCGGAACTGGAGATAGAGACATTTTTGGCGAAAGTGATCGAAAACTTCAAGGTCGAGTGGAATGGACCACCAGTGAAAACGAAAATAGCCGCCATTAATTATGTAATTGGACCTTATCACTATGTTTTCAAAGATGTTTAAATTTAAGAAAAAAATTTATTTTTAAGTACTTAATATTATCTTTTATAAAAATGTATCTTTTTTACATTACATTTACGTTTACTTGTACCAATATATTTTTTATAACAGTAACTAAAATTATTACAATTTTTCATTTTAAACAACATCCTACATTATATTATGGTAAAATGGTAAAATAGGTGGTAGTAGTTTTCCTGATGTGTGTCTGGAATATTTCAATATTACAGTTTTAGTCGTAGTTTTTATTACTAAACGTTTCTGTCGGTCTGGCCTTCACGGCTAAGCACGAGAGATCCTTCGTTCGAATCCCCAGAAAAGCGCGAAGTTTTTTAGTTCGATCAGAGCATAATACTCTTACCGTGATCGTGATGATGAACGTACACAAAACTGTGTTCGCCTCATGACGCAGCAACGTAATATGTAAGGTCTAAAAAGGCCTTTTTAAACCGCAATAGCAGACTTTTTCATAGTAGAGGAAGACAGACAAGCAAAGAGTTCACTAATGGTGGGCATATAACAACTAAACGGTCTGAACTGTCGACCTATTAAACTTCAAGGCTTTTTTATCTGTGGATCTTGGTTTGAGACCCGGACGATAATTTCGTAATTCCTACCACCCGTTTAATATACAAATACCCAGACGAAGTTCAACGTGTTTCATAAGAAATTATCAATTTTTAGAAAAATGTACGACCGATGTATAAGCCGTATGTTGGTACTAATAGACTATTTTGTCGCTATGACGTACGATGTACGATGTTGTTATACAAATTGTAAACATTAAAAATTGCCATAGACAAAAACGGACACAATAAATCCAACCAAGGTCATATTATTTTAAGTCGTCAGAGTTAGTTGGGAGCGGCGCGCGTACGCAAGGTGTATACAAACTAAGTATACGAAACACCTGTTATTGCTAGATAAATAATCAGTTATTGATAACGAAGTGATTCCTTCAGTCTTTGTTGTGGACTACGCATTAAAACAAATGAAATAAATATGCGAGCGGTGGGGAAAACGGTGTATGCTGTGGCAGCTACGAAAAATATTATAAGGTAGGTCCTAAAACATGTATTTAAGATGGGCGTCGACCTATTTCATAGTTGTGTACATTGGTTAGGCTTAGTCTGTCTGTATACTTATTACATTATCTGGTTAGTGTAGACATCTACATCATATTATTTTATATCATTTGCTTGATACAAGATGAAACGCAGTCAAAGATATGGTGATCTATATTTTCTAAAAGAGCTGTTGTTCTATCATCTAGAGCTACCGTGTCGTCTTTATCAAATTTTTTCAAACCATCAATACGTGCAACTCTCGCGAATGTATATAATCTTAAGATAAGGTTGGGGACATTTTTTTTACATTATTTAAAGAATCATATTTTCATACAATAGTTTTATTTCTGTTATTGCACGCTACGGAACCCCTAAAGATGCATAATTTTCCCTGTTTTCTACACATTTCTCCCGTTTTCTTTATTTCTAGTAGTCGCAGCTTGATGTTTTATAGCTTTAACCTTTCTAGATTAATGGTTTAACTAACACAAAATATTTTTTGCAATTGGAACCAGTAGTTCGTCAGATTAGCGCCTTTAAACAAACGAACTCTCTAGCTTCATAACATTAGTTTAGATATTCTTATTCAATTATAGAAATGTAGCAGTGAACAGCTCAGCAATAAATACGAGCGAAAACATACAAGGAAAATCATGGACGGAAATTCCTGGACCATCTTCTTTGCCCATCATCGGACAGATGCTACACTTTTTACCAGGAGGTAAGCAATGTAGAGTATATGACTATTTTATGACAGAGGACGAGAACATAAAATTAAAAAGGAATTAACTTTTAACCCTATTATTAAATATTTTTTGTAGTTTACACGTGTACACATTTGAATTAAACACTTTTACGCTTAAATCAAGAATATAATAAGTAATTTATTTGATTTATTTTATCTATGTCTCTCCGTGACCATGGCTGACGCAAAGTAAAATAACAAAAAAAATTAAATGTTTTAAACCATTAAAAGTAGTTTAAACTATAAAATTTATAATATCCACGTATTACTTAATTACATACATAATATGTATTATTTAATATGTATTTTGCGAGTTATAAATGATGTACATAGTATATAATACGCAAAGGAACGAACACTAACATATAATTATGATTGAGCGCAGAGTCCTATTATATATTATTATTGTGACGTGAATCTATTAAACATAAAGCTATTATATATCAATTTAACCAATTAAAAGGAATCTAGGTATATGTACTATGTATATACTTAAATAAACCTACTGAAGTATTTGGTCCATTAGAATATTAAACACATCATTATCATTGTATTTGTCTGTTTATTTATGGGCTCGTGTTTCTTAGCTGGATTCGAATCTAGAAGCGTTGTTACATACGACGCCGCGGCTTAATAGTAATCTTAGCTTCGTCGCGTCATTGATTTGACGTTTAACTACCCGTTAACGTTGTTTTGCCACATACATTGTTTGTAAGAAATTTCCAGTCTTGAAAAATGCTTACTTATTGTATGTGTTTCAAAAACGTGGTATATTAATGAAAAAGGTATGATCAATTCAAATAAATAATTAAAATAGAGCTAAGTGATATAAAAGTTGGTTGGGGTATTGTGTGTGTATTTTAATGGCCCATTATAAAGACATAATTGCGGTGTACAAAGTGTAGTTTCATAAAAATCGATCAGGTCGTTTTGGAGGTGTAGCTAAACTAACATTATATCACGAATACCTTTATATAATTCTTAGTTTAATACACTTGCATAAAAACTAGTCTTACTGCTTGTTTCAAATCTTTTCTTGAGTACAAAATTTGAAGACGTGAAAATCACTTGAAAGATAAAAACACTGTTGACTGATAACATTCACATGTTAGTGCTAACGATAGCAAGATTAAATTAGGGATTTTTAAATTAAAACCCGCTTAAAGCAATGCTAGGCAATACGTTAAACCAGTATGTAAGGGTTTTTGCTTATTTACAGGTGAACTATCAGACCCTGTCAAAATGCCGGAAATCCTCTACAAAAGGTACGGGCCCATTGTAAGATTTGATGGAAAATTCGGGGCACCAACTCTGATATTCTTGCTAGATGCAGAAGCGGCAGCTCAGGTATGGCGCGATAACTTTTCCAATACTTATATTTTTGGAAACAGATAAACAAACCCACGAGGTCTACCCCAAACTTTTGACGGTCTCCTCGATGTAATGGTATCCCCGTGTCGTGGGTTTGTTCCCCATGAGCGCAACATGTTTTGTGACTGGTTATTAAATGGGCGCAGGGGGGGGGGGGGGGCCCACACCCAACCAAACAACCCACCAACAAAACCACCACACCCCCCGCGCCGGGGGAAAAAAAAAAAAAAAACCCCCAAAAAAAAAAAAGGGGGGGGGGGGGGGGGGGGGGGGGGGGGGAAAGGGGGGGGGGGGGGGGGGGGAGAAAACGGGGGGAGGGGAAAAAAAAAAAAAAAAAACAAAAAAAAAAAAAAAAAAAAAAAAAAAAAAAAAAAAAAAAGAAAAGGGAAAACCCCCCCCCCCCCCCCCCCGCCCCGCCCCCACAAACAAAAAAAAAAAAAAAAAAAAAAAAAAAAACGGAAAAAAACAGGGGGGGGGTAAAAAAAAAAAAAAACCCCCCCCCAAAAAAAAAAAAAAACCCCCCCCCCCGGGGGGGGGGGGGGGGGTTTTTCCCCCCCCCCCCCCCCCCCCCCCCCCCCCCCCCCCCCCCCCCCCCCTTTTTTCCCGAAGAAAAAAAAAAAAAAAAAAAAAAAAAAAAAAAAACCAAAAATTTTGGTTTTTTGAAACCCCCCAACCCCAATTTCCACCACCCCTGGTTCGAATTAAAAAATACATTGTTGAGTTAGAACATTTATCGAGGGAGGCTATCTATACTAACATATAAAGCTGAAGAATTTGTTTGTTTCTTTGAACGTTTTCTTTTCTTTTTCATCTCTGTAGGTTTGAGTTGCGTACGCTGCGAAAACGGTTCAAGATAACTAAAAAATGTGTATAAATGAAAAACTTTTTGTGTTCGTTAGAACATTTATGCCTGTACTATAGAAAAAAGAAATTATTCCTCTCTGGTTTGAGTTGCGTACGCTAAGAAAACGGTTCAAAATGATCAAAAAATTTGGCTCTTGTAAAAAAGTCCCGGACGCTATATGTCTATATAGACATATAGCGTCCGGGACTCGGACTCTAGCGTCTTAGAATATTCTAAGATTAGCTTGTAAGAACAACGGGAAGGGATGCGATCGACGTCGTGGCTAACAGCTTAAGTTTATAAGGATGACGGGGTTTGCAAAACCTAATTTGGATGCCCAAAATAACGATTCTCGCGGACATAGTCGCTGGCACAGCTAGTAATAGATAAAGGTGAATCATATTTTCATTATCGATCGATAGCTTTGAGATAGTAGTAACTAATAAAAATTAATCACCCATATCCTGTATTTATGGATATTTCAAATAAACATTTTCAACAATATAATGAGTTTTTTATTAAAATATTCATTATTTTAACCAAATAGTCAATCCGTTAAAACTTAAATTGAGGTACATTTCGTTAAAACATATTTGACAAGTTACAATAGAGATAACCTACAGAGCTACACAGAACAAATACATTGTAAATCGAAAAATAGCAGATATAAACATTATATATATGTTTGTAACAGTTCGACGTTTCGGATGCGTTAAAATAATTTGTAAATGAGTTAAACGAATATTTTTTCGCGTTTAATACCGTTAAAAGTGTTTTATTAAGCCATAGGCCGTATACGGGCAATTTGGTCATAATAGATGGCAGCACTTTATCTTATCTAGCGTTGCCTAGAAGAGATAACCTAGAAGATCGCCCGCTTTAAAAAAAAAACCCCGTTGGTTTTATTATGGTTTGTGTTGTAAAAATAAACTTTAGATTTCACCTACAAAGAGCTCATTTCTTTAATCCTTACTCTTCAGGTGTTACGGAGCGAGAATTGGATGCCCATCCGCCCTGGCTTCGCCAGCTTTGAACACTATAGGAAGCTTAAAAACAAAGACAAGCCGAATGAGCCTACAGGACTTATTACAGAGTGAATATTCGTTAAATGATTGTAATAAATTTATTGTTAAGGTCTGTTGCCTCTGTGGGTTTCAAATGCACCTATTTTTGTATCGGTTTGTATGATTGCGTTACAGGCATGTAGTCGATTAGACTTCTGTGCCCTGATCGACCAAAACTATTTATTGTTTCTTGGAGATTCTAACCCGGGAAAGACGGGGGTCACCAAGATCAACCCTAATCTCGCATTCGCCTGCTCTGAAATGGGCTTTGGTGCTGGGTGCTTTGGAGTCATACAAATGTGTTCCAGGGCTCCCTCAAAAGCACCGTACCGGGTCGGTTATGTTATATGAGACTCTGGTCTGCTGATATATAATTATATTATAATATTAATGTAGTCAAAGCAAAAATCACTTATGTGATGAGACAAATTACGTCATTGTGATAAATAAACATCGATGATTCATACCTATTACTTATCCAATAAAACACTTTTTACCTGTTTAAAACGCAACATATATTTATCTCTTTATCTTTTGAGTCTAGACCTTGCAGCACTGTAAAGCGACCTACATGGCGGGTCTCATAGTTATATGAATAACTAATAAAATGTCGGTTTCAAACAGTTTAAACGCGTTTATGTGAAGAGTGTAGTGCGAGTGCGAACTATATTCATACTACTTGAAAAGCTTTCGAATAGATTGAATAATAACCACGACTAATAAATAATTTATTTTACAGCCATGGTGATGTTTGGAGGAAGTTTCGGACAACTGTAAACCCAATTATGCTGCAGCCTAAAACAATAAAACTTTACAGCCACATTTTAGCTGAAGTCGCAACAGATATGGTTGCCAGGTAAATGATACACAGTATCAAGGCTAAGATCGTTATTTTTTCCTAGAAGTGATTATTTCGTGTATCAAACTACTTTGTATTTATGCTAATAATTATTTGTTTGAATGCGCTAATCTCAAGAACTGCTAAAACTTCGAAAAACGAGGAAGGCTTTAAGCTATAAGACATTAGACCAATAGGAGCGAAAATATAGAGGGAAATGTGAAAAAAAAATAATGGGAAAAATTGTTCGTTTATGAGGGTGTCCTTTCCACTGCAGTAACGGATCAAGATACCAACAAATATGTCTGAAAGATTCTAGGCCTAACAAATAAAAAAATCATATATCGATTTACAAACTGTGAAAGATGAACCTACGGCCCATACGTCTATTATCCACGTGTTACTAAGACAGAACTAACGAAATTCAATTTAAAATCTTTACTATAGAGGCTGCTATGCAAATAGTACCAATGTCTAAATGTCAATTTACTGCAATCCGAATATTAATTCTACGAGCATAGTATTTGGAGAAATCTAATATCCTCTTGGTTGACATATATAAGATTTATCTCTCTAGTATTTGCAAACTGTCTAAAGATGCCTTTTTTGCTATCCCTTCATCCTCAATGAAATGACTCTGATTTTAAGTGAGTAATACAGTTTAAAACGAACGCTTTTAACGGTTTAAAACGCATCCTCATGCAGCCATGAGGGACAGCCAGCTAAGCATGCAACGCTAAAAATAACGTTATGAAAATGTTTTTTTTATTATTTTTATATTTTCAAAACTCTATCCATAGAATGATCTACGCTTTAATCGTGATATAAAAATCTTATTTTACCTATACGAGATAAACCCAATGCGATGGAAATAACAATAATTGCATTAAAATTTACATAACAAATCTCAAAAGTGAAGTTAAGCGATATATTTCGCGTTAAAAACAGTAAAAATCGTGTGGAACACCCATAAACTGCAGACAATACTTACTATTATCTTTTACAGGATGAAATCGAAACGTAACGAGAAGAACATGATCGAAGGAAAATTTGACGTAGAAATGAATCTATGGGCTTTGGAATCGATCGGCGTGGTGGCACTGGGCGGTCGTCTCAACTGCCTCGATCAAAACTTACCGGAAAATTCGCCAGCAAGGAAACTCATTCAGAACGTGCATGAAATTTTCAAAATGGCGGACAAACTCGATTTCAAACCGAGTCTGTGGAGGCATATCGGCACTCCGAATTACTATAAAGCGATGCAGTGCTATGAAGATCAAACGAAGTATGACAATCATTTTATTTATTTAAAAAACAGAGAGAGAAAAAAATTTATTTATTACTATTAAAAGCCACGCAAAGACTATATTATCACTGAAAATAAAAATAAAACATAATTTGATCTTAACAGTATAAAATAATGTTGTGTGCTGCTATTTGGTAGAAGATCTTACTCTGGTCATATCGGACTTATAAAAGGTACATGTGAATATTTGATAGGTACAGAAATAAGGAAGAGGTTGTTTTCCAGTGTGCGTGTATATAAAACATACAATCGAAAAACAACTATAGAGACTACTGGGCGGTTTTATCGCTATAAGATATCTCTTCCAGGCAACCCGAGTAGAGAGAATATTGAGTAAACTAACTACTTAATAAACTAAACAAAATGAACATTTAAAATAATAAAAAAAGCCCATCAAATGAAAAAGAAAGTTCAATCAAGGAAGAACGACATGATAATGACAGAAAATAATTATATAGGAGACGAAAGTAAATCTTCACAACGCTACTTTAAACGGTTTAAAACCCGAAATATATTAGTTGACTAACTGTAATGCGTATTCATCGCCTCTGTAGCTATATGGTTACACGTGTTTCCTAGTGCATTGCGGTAAGCGTCAGAAGTCCGGGTTCGAATCCCGGGGGGGAAGAGATTGTTTCGATCGGGCAGGGCACAAAATCTGATCAAAAAATATTGAACTAAATTACATTACTACATTTTGCGATTCTAGTCTGAGCAAGTATTTCATCAACCAAGCAAGGGAGAAATTCCAAGGCACCTCGAAATCTGATGATGAAAAGGGGATCCTGGAGAAACTCCTTGAAATCGATGAAAAGATTGCTGTTATAATGGCCACCGACATGTTGCTTGCTGGTGTTGACACTGTAAGTCAAAGTCCTTAGTGACTAACAAATATTTTCTCAGTATATTTGAACTCGTCTGAAATGGGATCGTACACAATATGACAAAGCTTCTGGAAACCTTTCAATTATTTATTGAGTTTATTTGCTAAGCTACCCCTTTTGTAAATATTATTTTCGCTATCATTTATTTCTTAGATCTCTTTAAAGCTTCTAACGTCAGCAATGTATGGCTTATAATCAACGGGCCGCGGGTATTATAATTGGACACGTGGTGGGCGGTGGTGGTCCACACGCTACAGTCGACATTACGTTCTTAAAAGTAATGTCGACTATCATCCTCATGAATTGTACATAACCTTTAAATTCAAATTTTAAAAAAGGTCCTATTTAATTTTAATTTATAACAACGCGAATATTAAGTTACGAATTTGAGAATTGTCTTAACACAATCTTAACACATAATTATGTCACTATTATCATTAAAACACGACATTTAATATTTTTGCCACCTTTACTTTCCAGGCCGCAAACACAATGACAGCGACCTTCTACTTGCTGGCGAAAAACCCGGAAAAACAAAAGAAGTTGAGGGAAGAGATCCTATCGGGAAATGAGAATAAACCATATCTCAAAGCCTGCATCAAGGAATCTCTGAGAGTCATGCCGGTGGTGTCAGGGAACATTCGAATTGCATCAAAGGATTATGACATTTTGGGGTACAGGATACCAAAGAATGTAAGAATATGCATAAATTAATTTATTTCTCATACAATTAAACAAAACAATAACGCAATGTTTGACGTAAAGTTCTATGCACGACGCCAATTTTCAATTATAAATTAAAATTACTGTTTTTATATGTTACCATTGAACTATTACTTTACCTTCTTTGATAACTGTGAAATCCCGTTTCCACCTCGTGGGGCATGGGGCGGACACATTTCTGTGTCCGTTTCACTTGAAAATGTATGTAGTTGATCAGACTTCTGTGCCCTGCCTGACCGAAACAATTTTTTGTTTCCTTGGGATTCGAACCCAGGCTAAAGAGGCGGTCGTCTTTGATAGCATAGTGGTAGATTATTTAAAGGAGTATTATTACTACGAGGAATGAAAAGGTGCCGGATTTTTGGGTCAAGGGGCGAATATATTTTTGAGACTTTTCAGCAGTTACTATAATTTTATTATTGTTATTAGGTTATCAGACATTCGTGACAATACGTCTCAGAAAAAAATACAAATTGATTAGAAATCGAATCCATGACCCGTTTATTGTTAGCTATACAATGTTACCATTACATCGGCGAGCCCGACAAAGTATTCAAATTTTATAACAGTATCTATATAATTTCAGATGCACGTAACATTTGGCCACCAATTCCTATCAGTATCCGAACAGCATTACCCAAAACCGAGGGAGTACATTCCGGAGCGTTGGCTCGTTGACAAATCCGACCCCTTGCATTATAGGAATGCACACCCCTTCGCGTTCAACCCCTTCGGCTTTGGAGTAAGGAGCTGTATAGGTGAGGCGTAATAAATTAAGCCAAGCTAATTAGGCTAACGAGAAATACTCTTTCTCATTAGCGTTAATTGAGGTAATAAAAATGTTTAAGCGTTTGCGAGAGAAAATGTTGTTTATTTCTGACTTTAGTATAGGTATCAAGGAATTCTTTGTTCGTATTTTACCTGTATCACACCCGTCAATGCTTGTCAAATATTCGATGTATAAATAGTTATAATATTTTAACTTAATTTCATATAATTGAGTCTACCGAATCTCAATCGGTTAGAGCAACGCTGTGAATGCCGTTTCAAGGCCCGCCCTTGTCATATTAAAAAAAAATCTAAAATCGTTTTTAAATCAGCATACGATGGCATTGCATATTTGATCTACCGTCTCAATTGGTTAAAGCAGCAGCACGGAACGCTGTGGATGTCGGTTCAAGTGCCGCCTCTGTCGTTAATTGAAAAAATATATAATATATTTTTTATTGTTGTAATATTTATTTACCTGTTACTTTCAGTTGTTTAGTCCACACCTTATCGATGTCACCAAAATTGGTATAACCGTTTACATAGATCCATATGTGATATAGACAAATGAAAATATTATGCAATATGCAACAATCGTTTATGCAGCTAAATTTATTATTACGGTCACGTTTCGTAACGCATTACGACGACAGTCTGGCTTCCAATTTTAATATGAAATAGTTCAAATTAACGTATCAAATTTTTCACAAACCTCAAATCTTACCGACTAGGTTCGCAAACATGCTGTAACTATTTAAATAAAACACTTTAACGGTTTAAAACGCGATATATTAGTTAAACTTATTTGAAAATGAGAACACGGCTGCTGCAAAGTTAAAAATCATTCTCAAATAAGTTTAACTAATATATCGCGTTTTAAACCGTTAAAGTGTTTTATTTAAATGTGTACTTCTCGCGTAAACTATAGACAGTATGCTGTAACTACTTAAGCTAAATATAGGAAGAATAACTCTTATGTACTTAACTTAAAGTATGCACAGCGCTGACTATAGATATGTATATAGAAATAAACACTACACTGAAAACAAAATACGAAACGCGTTTTTAATATTAATATTGTTTTTGTCAGGTCGAAGGATAGCTGAACTGGAAGTAGAGACATTTTTATCGAAGGTCATTGAAAACTTTGAAATCGACTGGACTGGCCCACCGCCCAATGTTAAACCAGCTGCGTTGAATTACATAGTTGGACCGTATAATTTCATCTTTAATGATGTAAAAAAGTAAAGAAAAGGGGTTGAAAAGGGGGTACGATATATCTAGGTGTTAAGGTAGGGCTTATTTATTATAAGATGCTTTAAATCAAGTATTGTCAATAGTTTACGTGAGCAGTATTTAAATAAATGATTTTAACTACGGCCCGACGAGGTAGATGATGCTTTGCAGCACCGAAGCGTCGGGCCGCAATTAAAATAAGTTATCTACATTGTTTACTTTTTATACATTTAAAAGGTTTTTATTTAAATGACAAAGTAAATATGTATTTGTGTGTTTAAATATGTTTACCCTTAACAGCTTAAAATGTATATAAAAAGTTGTCAAATAAGTTCGGTCGTGGAACTGATTATCAGTCGGTAAAAAAAAATTCTAAAATGCATTTTTTGTATGAAAAAGTAATAATGTTTTGAGGAATTTGTCTATTACGTAAAATTTAAATAAGTGTCTTTCTGTGCCTACCTACCCTACTTGCATTTTTCAATAATGGTTCTCAAAGTAGTCACCGAGTCATATGGCCGAACAATTTGAAAACCCAAGTGGCTTTGCAAAATAGGCACAAAAGCCGTATATATATATATTGTTGAATATAAAGTAGACTGTATATTAGGTGGAAACACGGTTTCCTTTGAGTTGCGATCACCGCTGCGCAGAAGCAGGCAAAGGGATCAAACCCACTAACCTGGTCTTCCAGACGCTCACTTCAGCTCCTCGACCCAGTAGACAGATGCACGGCACCAATGTTAATACGTCACGGACGTTTAAATGGAGTCAAGGACACGCGCGTTTAAGATGGCAGTTCTTTCGCAACTGATTGGGTTCGCTTCTCGGGCGCGCCCAGTTAACACCGGTAGTGGGCAATTACCCTCTACCCGCATCTGCGATGCGATGATCGAACATATATATGTTTCTGTTGTTTTGGTAAATACTGCGTTTTTAAATCGGAAATATAATGTTAAGGATTAATACTCTTTAGAGGAAATACTATATTTTACAACTAGCAGTAAGTTTTTTTTGTTATAATATACTCATATTTAAATAGAAACGTTGCTTAATTTATTTCTTTACGATTTATAATACTCGCACATAAAGAATACGAAGACCCGATATTTTTGGCGGCTGGTATTACTAATACCACCGTATGGTGGGTTAGATTCCTACCATTCCACCATATTTCTAAATCTAAAATGATTTCTTCTGTAATATGTCAATTAAACCCAATCTGGGACAGCCAAATATTAAATCACCACTGTCCATGGATGAAGATGCAGTGAAGTGTAAATCCACGTCAGCCTTTTTTTCTAAATAATAAAAAAAGGTCGACAGCAAATCTCGTCTAATCTGAAATGAAACAGCCTTAATGTTTCAAACGCGATATATATACATATATCAGTTATTTTTAATTATTAACTACTACAAAACGTTTTGGCCGCTGCTATGGGTAACATAATATATTCCGCGTTTTAAATCGTCGTGTTTTATTTAAGGTGTACTTCTTGCGTATTCAGATTTAATCACGTTTGGATCTTATAGCTGGATTTCTCTATCAAGAAAATTCTACGTTTGTCTGAAAAACACACTGAAAACGTAAAGTTTCATAACGTCTTCATAGCCGTAAGTATATTGCGAAAATGCATTACACATAGCAAATGGGAACTTACGAGCGCTCGTTTCTGAAAGCTCATGAATATTATATGCTCGTCATAATAACTATAATAGCTGGTGCATCTTCGTTTATTGTTCTAACGTCTGAATATGCTAAACACTAAACTATGACGAAGTACTGTACATACGTTTAATTCTATTTTAATGGCTATTTTATTTAAAACTAGCTGAGTCAGCATCAAGATTTAAGCTTTTACCCACGATTACCGCATCCCGTTGTTCGTGTAAGTTAATCTTATAAGATAAACATATGTATACTATAGCGGACGTTTTTTTAGGTAATTGAAAGAGGAAATAATTTCATACATATTTTTGGATATATTGAACAGTTTTCGCAGTGTGCGCAACAGAGAAGCATAATTAATTTTTCCCCGTTTTTTCATATTTCCCGCATTTTCTTCGCTCCTAGTTAGTCACAGCGCGCTCTAACCACAGCTCTAACCAACACAAAAATAATTGTTCGATTCGAACGAGTAATTCCTGAGATTAGCGCGTTCAGACGAGCAAACAAACTCTTCAGCTTTATTATTTATTATCCCATTTGACATCTATACTAATATATTCTCATATAGATGTCAAATGATTGTATGAGAGCTGTCTAACAGTAGGGTTATGAAAATCAGTTTTGTAGCAACATATGCTGACGCAAGACCTTTTGGTATCACCAATCTTCAAATTAAATCAATCTTTTTGTATTAATTATTATATTGTAATTACATTTATTTCTTTCTAACATTGTACTAAATGAATGCCAAATAAAGATATTTATAATGATTATTATTTTCAAATAATTATATATAATAACAGTCGATTGACGAGCTTAGCGATACTTGAAGGTGTGATACATAAGCCTTATAACATGATTCACATGCGCTATCGGCCTATCTTAGAGTTTGGACATTCGGAAATTCATAAACTGAATCTGAAGCTCAATTCACACTGCAGTAAGCATTACGCCTCGTTCGTAACTGAGATATCGATATTCCTCCCAAATATACGTTTCTAGATTAATCATATTTGAAGTAGTCATGTGTAGAAACAGTGGGAATCGTATCGTGGCTAGCCATGTCTACTACTGGATGAATCAAACTGTCAACTTGTTGTTTCCCAGGGATATGAACCCAGGAGCAGTCGCGCTCTGTGCGTTCAATATAAAAATTACACAGTCCAATAAAAAGTACCACCTATATATTGGTTTTTTCTTACATGTTTATAGTTTTACTTTATGCATAAAAAAAAAAAAAAAAAAAACCCCCCCAAAAAATTCTTTTTTTTTAAATTTTTTAAAATTTTTTTTTTTTTTGACCCCCCCCCCCCCCCCCCCCTTGGGGAAAAAAGGGGAATTTGGGTTTCGGGGGGAACATCCCAAACTGGTTCCGATCTTACCTATCCAACAGAAAACAAATAGTCAGATGATAGTTTAAAAAGGCCGGAAAAAGTAGTCTCCTACGGCTTGCCACAGGGTAGTGCAATAAGCAGTCCTATTTCTAATTATATTAACGACTTATACAAGAACTTTCTACAGTTTCTCCTTCGTGACACAGGCGATTTTTTCGTTCCCTGGGAACAAGCCGCCCTCGTTGCCCAAACGGGTCTCACCCGTTTTCTCAATGCTCACCAATAATCTTCTTTTACTTTTTCGCTTATACAACAAAAACTAAATACATTTGTTTTAGACATTCTGAACTGCCCCAAAACCATCCCCTATTATCCATTCTTTCATCCCTTCCGACTGCCAATGTCCAACCATAGAATCGACTGATTCTATTAAATACCTCGGGGTAATGGTGGGTTTCTTGGGGCCTCACATTAGTTATCTGTGCGCTCGTGTCCGAAAACTTTCAAGCGCCTTTAAACGCCTCAGTAAGGCGGCAGAGACTAATACTATTAGGACAGTCTATATAGCTTTATGCCAATCTGTGTTATCTTATTGCATTTCCACATGGGGCGGTGCGGTAACAGGTCTTATGCTCAAAATAGAACGGGCACAGCGTGCTATCCTAAAAATTTCCCTTAGAAAACCGTTTCGGCATCCAACTTCAGAATTATACAAAGAATGTAATCTCCTGACGGTCAGGCAACTGTATATTATATCAACTTGTCGTCGCCAACTCAAAACGCCATCACAATCTAAAACATCCGAACAAACATCTTTAACACAACGAAAAGTCCAATTCCGAACTCCGCTCAAACACACCTCTTTTGCCCATCGATTTTTTACTTTTAAAGGTCCCTTCCTGCTTAACTTATTCATTAATAAAAATATAATTAGCCCACTTACTTCCCTTATTCTTCCAAATAAAAAAAAATTAAAGTGTTTCTTCTAAAATTAAATTATACTCAAACAGAAAACTGTATTAAGGTAATTGCATGACAAAATGTTATCCATATTTTTAAGTTTATTTTTTATTATTTAAATACTTAGCATATAATAACTTTATAAGTACATAGTAGATACTAAGTTTTTCATTGTTTTTCTCGAAATGACCGGAAGAGTCTAGCCGCCAGAAAGGGAATCCTAGTGTGGGGGCTAGCACACCTGTAATGATATGTAACATTTTGGTGAATAAAGAATTTGTATTTTATATTTGTATATGTATTGCTTTATTATAATTTAATATAGTGTTCTACAAAACTAAAACGTGCAAATAAGTTTATAAACATGCTTTTTGTATTAAGTCTACATTTGTAAACAATTGAATAAATGAAAGACATAATAATAATCTTATTATTTTAAAACGTCGGGCCGTAGTTAAAATTTTCAAATAACTTTAACTAATAAATATCGAGTTTTAAACCGTGAAAGTGTTTTATTTAAATGTGTAATATTGATGTTCATTATATCATTTTTTTTCGGGCTGTTCGGCCGACGTGAGACGTGATGTTAGCTCCTCAATTGTTCAAAGAAGAATTAACCCTTACACAATTTATTATTGATGTTACCTTTCCAAACCATTGAAACACAATTCTGTGAAATTAAGTTAAATTACATTTAACTTTTAACAAATTCGATACGAAAAGTTGTACACGCGGGTAATAAGTACTTACGTTCAGTTGGGAGTGTCGCGCTTGTCTGAATACGTAAATTATAGGAAATAGCGACGCCGACTGCGAATTATTGCTCGTTTCTCATGTGAACAAGGTATTATGACTGTTTACGAGTTTCTATGGCGAAAAATGTGCCATTACACACTAAACTTTCTTTAATGGTTTAATGACTTATATTAAAGCCTGTGTTAACTTGAAACGATAAGGAAATATTTCATCAATTTTATTTATTTGTTATATTCAATAACCAAGATAACCACTAATCGGCAATGCATTAGTTGCTGATTATGTTTTCCATT